TTTTCTCTACATTTTGAACATATATATATATATATATATATATAAGATAAGTTTAAAGATATGGCAGTGGTTTGAAGAAAGAGAATTTCTATTTCATAATTCCTTTGGTTGAATTTAAATTTAAAAAAACGATTGTATCATATATTTTTAAAACAAAATGTGGCATTAACTTGCTTATGCTTCAACACATTAAAAACTAATTTTTTGAGCTACATTTTTCCCTGCTTAGAAAACCAGTTTTTCTCACAAAAAAGGGGAAAAAAAACATTTTCAAAAGGGTAAAGGAGGAAAAAAAAAACATTTTCAAAAGGAAAAAGAAGAAAAAGGAAAAGAGAAAGAAAATCCATACAATATTTACAAAAATAATATAAATATCTGAAAAGTGAAAATAGAATAAAAAAAATATCAACTTGTATTTTAACAACAAAATAACAATTTTTTTAAAGAGAAAAAGTATTTAATACACATACAGAAATTTCCAGCTTAGTTAAAAGGTCATATTAAGTAAAACGCTTTCTGAGTTTGAGAATTATAAAAATATTATTTTGTTTACAAATACAAAAAACTATTTATTCGATGATACTAACTGAATTAAATTAGTATTGTCATCGAAATGTGTGCATTTTAGAGATGGGCCAACAAAGAAGCCCAATTTTTTCATAATTGAAGGCTACTTCGATCCATAACTACAGTAAAGAGTCCACACTAATTCACCAATATTATCTACAATTTACATATCTACATAAAAAATTTTTACACATACATTTTAAAGAATGTTATCAAAATTTGACCCCCCTAAAATAAAAGTATTACAAAATTACATTTCTTATTTAATAAGGCTATAGAGTGGAGAAAAGTCAGCTGCTTTTTCTTTGTATTGGAAAACCATATTTTATAAATATTGACACAAGTTCCGAAATTAATTCTATACTAGGGAATTACATTTTGGAGAAACAAATCAACAGAAAAAGATTTTAAAAAATCTGGGAATTTAAAACTAACAAGCAATGCATTTAAAATACTCTTCTTCAAATAAAAATATTGTTACAAGATGTCGGAATTCTTTAAATAAGAACATCTCAAATAAAATCAGATTATTTTTCTTTTTAAAAAGCCCAAGGTTTACATTTATTTGAATTACATGATGTTTGATATAAATATAATATATATTTCAAATCTGGAGGAATATCAAAATAATCAAGAAAGAAATACAAAAAATTATAGTTAATACAATTATTATTTAAAAACTCAAACAGCTTCTGTTTTAGAAAAATGTTTCTGTGTAAAAATGTAAAGTAAACAAATAAAATAAATTTCCACACATGTATAGAGTATGTTAGGCAAGCTTGCTATTCTGAGCAAATCTACAATAATTTTGAATTTTAATATTAACTTCTAAACAAAACTTGTTTCATGACAATACCCACTTAAAATACCATCCCAATAATTATGAAATCACAAAAGTTAGGAAACAGTAACAACTTTTGTACTTAGTAAAGGATACTGATTGTTTAAAAAAAGAAATCATTGGTACTTTGTTAAATATCACAGTACCACAGTATACACTCAGGAATTCCTTGTTGTAATACAACCAGGGGTTTAATACACACAGATAAATATATATTTAGCAAAACAATAAATAATTTCAGGTAAAGTATTGCAAATACACAGGGAATCTTTTCAGATTTTGTAAAAGATAAAAATTATATCACATGAACAAATTTAGAATCTCACACTGACTAAAAAAATTTTCTATCAATTAATAATTTTAAAGTATAAAAAAAAATCTCTCATGATTTCATATACTTTATAAAGGAAGATAAAAAATACCAAAAATATATTATATGAATGAATTTAGAATTCCTAGAAATTACTTGCTTGTGATTCTCAACTAATAAATTTAAATATAAAAGATTAAAACAATATATAAAATACGTAATTAAAAAAAATACAATTTCAAAAACAAGTCATTTTTTTAATGTAGAGACATAAACATAATAAAATGTCTTACATTTTGATGTAAAAGTTAGTTAGTACAAAATTTAGGAATGTTTCTGATTTTTTTACATTAAGTTTAGTCACTCATATCAATAGTTTTAAAGAAGAAAAAAACTCAATATATATTTGTATGTTTTTTGTATCAGCAGAATTTTCATAAATTAAAAGAGGCTTCAGGCAATGTAAAGATTGCCATACGCAACATTTCTGATTAAATACTATTAGAAAGTTTTCTATAAATTTTAAAATGCTAAGAAAATTAATGAGGTTGTGATTACCTTTCAGATGCTTTGATAAAAATTCCAATTAAAAGCTTATATTGTGAGCAATTTTTTTATAAGAACAAAAAATATTATAACCTAACATAAATAAAAAACATTATTATTTTAAATTCAATGAAACATCAACCAACTACTAGTTAAAAAGTGTAGTAAATAAATTGACATAAGCTTTAATTAAAATACATAACCATTAAAATTTAACAATTATCAATATATTGCATATATTTTTGTTTTTATGAGTAAATATATGATTAGCTTATTGCACTTGAATAATATGAAACATTATCATACGATTAACCACACACATTTCCGTAGAAAAATGAATCGCCTAATTTTCATATAAAAACAAGATTTCATAGTGATACATTTCCTTTTGAAGTATGTTTACATTTTTATGTTTATTCAATAGTAATGATGGGTAGATATTGCACTTATACTCACAACTGCCATATGAATAATGATTTAGTTATAATATGAATAATAAATATTACACAGAAATCAGAAAAGTTGTAACACATATAAAACATCAAATATTATAATAAGTGACAATCTATTAGTACATGAAGAGTTTCTTAAAGCAAAACTAGAAGGGAAAAAAATGGTTCAAACAAGAGTGAGGATTAAATTCTATTCTGGATTGAGAGAATACATTTTTTGTTATGAAGCTCACTAATAACTTTTAAGTCTTTTAATGTTACTCCTTAATACTTAACAGTCAAAATGGGCATTCTTGGTAAAAATGATGCATTACCAGAGAGAACAATCTCCATGAAAACACTTTAATGCACTACAAGAGAACAAATTGGCACTCTTGTTCAAAAACAATGCACTACAAGAGAACAAATGAGCTTGTTCAAAATGATGCGCTACAAGAGAGCAATCAGACACACTTGTTCAAATCGATGCACTACAAGAGAGCAATCAGACACTCCTGTTGAAGATGCTGCACTACAAGAGAGCAACCACAAAATTTTTATAATGATAAGAATAGCATTAACTAGTCTACAGGTTCTAGTTTAGAAGCTAATTTTCATTGAGCATGCACTTGTAACCATGAATGGGCATATATTGTTATTATCCTACACAGGCTTTGGAAGTTTCATCCTAGGATGGCGTAGAATAGGCGCAGAGCGGTCATCGCTGTTAGCTTTCCGGAGATTGACACCTTCTCGAATTTCACCGAGCAAATCAGCTCTGCAACGCGAGACATCAACTGAACCACGGCCAGCCAACCATTTCTGCACTCTACAGGCAGCTTCATTTCGCCCTCCTACACTCGCTTTCTTCGTCTCAAATAGAATATTTTGGTGGAGACCTGCATATTCCAAATCCAGAGAACTCCTTCTATCAGGGGTTGGGGGGAGTTTCTTCTGGGGCACCTCTTCAATGGAGTTCCTTTGCCTAGGAAATTGATCTACCAACTCACTAAAAGTAGGTTGAGAGACACGCCGCTGAGCTTTTGTCTCCAGAGGTCTCGGAGCAGTATGGAACTTAGATGATTCTGTTTTACGCTCTCTTCGTTCCACCTTGCTGAATTTCAATTCTAAGTCAGACAAAAGAGTATTTTTATCAGGAGTACGTGGAAGTTTCTTAGTGGGGGCTGATCGCTGGTTTATACGTGGGGGAACTTCGGGCTCAACTTCCTCTAGAGGAGGCGGTGGTGGCGGAAGACGATCTGGTACCACCATCTCCTCCTCCCGTTGCAATGCATCTAAGCGAGCATTGAGTGCTCGCATTAGCTGTGCGTGAGCATCTGATCCGTCAATCGAGTCATTAAACACATTCCATGATGTAGCAGAACATTCTGCACCTTTGGCTGTTCTATGAGGTGGAACGAGGGGAGCTTGTTTTGTAGCAGAGGAACGTCTTACTGGTGGCGGTGGGGCATGCCCCCCACACGCACCTTCTTCATTGGGTGTTGAGGGAGTTTGTGCATCTAAAAATATAATATTTAGTATAAAAGAAACTAATATTTCGAAAGAAAAAATTATTGATATGAATAAGCATTAATTGTAAAATACAAAATTAAATAAATAAGAAATGAAAACTTCCTATATTACACATTTATATGAGAGATGTAAAGAATATTTGACATGCATGAATAATGTGCATTAATAAAAGCGTCCTTAAGCAAAATATATTTTATATCATCCTTTGTTATAAAAAATAAAGTATAGGAAAACCGCAGCAGAGGAAATCAGAATATTTATACTTGTTCCTCGTTTCTCATATACCAAATATATGAATATTTAATTTGTTTTTAATTTGATACTTAGTTTTCAATGCTCTTACATATTGATTCATCAAAATTGTTTCTTTTTTATTATAAGTCCCGCAGTGGACTGATCATAAAGATATGGTTCCTAGTAAAACACCAAAGTCAAGCGTCACTAGCTGCGGTCAGTAAACAGGTTGGTGACCCCATTGATCAGCCTGTGTAGTAACTGAGGGTGAGTGGTATCAGTCCTTGCTAAACTGTTCTACTGCAAAATGCTCAACTTCTCGTGCAGGTTGTAAGGCTATTAAAGCAGGGGAGCCCTCCCCTCTGCAGAGAATCAAAATCAGGATGACATGTCTTCGGATCATCCTCAGGGAAGTTTCCTAGACCATCGCCAAAAGACAATTTTGCAGCTCTAGTGCGACGTAAATAAATACCTATCTACCTTATCATGGATTGTTTCTTTGCAAACCAGTCATTTTTTAGAACAATAAAACGATTACATGTTATAAGGATACAAACTGAAAGCAGGAAATAACAAGAAAGAGTAAGAAAAACGTTACTTGATCTCATATCTTTTGAATGATCAACAGGTAAAGTGGCTGTTTCTTTTCTCACAAGTTTCTGCTGAATGGCACTTTGCGCAAGTGTAGCTGCTAAACTTTTTTGGAAGGACTCCTAATTTAAAGAAATAATAAGTACACAATATAAATAAGAAACATAATTATACAGATGCACAAAATAGCCTAAACCTTTAATTTTATGAGCACAATATTTTTTTTAACTGTGCAGCTGCCATAGGAAATTTTATGCACTCATCTAGCAGATATTAAAATAGCATCGCTAAAGGTATTAAAAATGGAGGTAAACTATACTTAGAGAAAACTCAATCAATTTTAAAAACTTTCATTTCTTATTTTTGATGTTAACAAGAATTTTGTTTAAAATCAAGATGCAAATATTATTTGCATAGTGATCAAAATACTTGTTAATTAGGTACCTAATTTTTGAATAAAATAAATATTTATATGATTGCTGTCTTATCAAAAATGCCCCAAATTTCAAAGAGATACTGATTACTGTAATCAGTGAAATTTTCATAAGGATACTAATAATTATAATGCTTTTGTATGCTTATAATCCTTTAAATCGTGCTAACATTTTGACAATTTTAAATTTGCTGCCCAGGATATTCTGTTTCTACAATTAACATAGCTATGCTTCTATTATTTTTGTCTTTAAATATGTCGAAAACAAACATTTAATTGAAATACAAAAGCAAAAAATTAGCATATTCAGAACAAAAAAAAAATTTAATCCAATAAAGATAAGAGATAAAAGAAAGGAAAGGAGAGAAAAAAATGAGGAACTCAAAATAATGGAATTAATATAAGGAATATTAAAGAAATTGTCTTTTTTTCCAACTCAACAAATAGTGTCTAGGTTCATTTTATAAGAAAAAAAGCACACCATTTATATTCCTTGAAAAACATTCTCAAAATATTTAAAAAAAAACAGTTAAAATTAATACATATTGATTCCTTTACTTTACTTGAGTCTTTTTTAGTTTGACTTGAAAACCTTTTTGTACCAATGCTGTGTAACTTAAATGATAACACAAGTCAGTGATTCTAAAGCATGTAAAGTTTTATTCAATAGGGATAAAAGTGTATTTTAAGGCATAAAAATTGTGAATAAATTTAACACAGCCTTAATTATAAACTAACTAAGTAAGGAAGATATAGTTTAATGCATTTTAAGAACAGAAGATAATGTGTCATCTTTTCTCCTGAGTTATCACTTAAAATAATAGAGACTGTGTCAATGTTCTAATGGTTAAAACAATAAACTATGAACCAAGGACATTGTTGTAACAGATATACTTTCAGTGCAATTAAAGTAATGATGTCTCATTTTAGTTTCATTCCTTAAGGCTAATAATATGCATTGATTCATCTTTTTTTTAAACTTTATTTTCAGACATTCAATAACGTTTTTTTCTTCATGACGAAACAAACAAAACAAAAACAAGTATTACAGTATAATTTACTTTATCACAATTAAAAAGCAACAGTTAAAAAATAACAGTAAAACTTTACATTTTTACCTCATATAGTTTCAACCGACAATTCAGTGCCAATTAAAAATTATAAGAAAAGAAACATTTCGTCTTTCTTTATTTTCAGAAGAAAAATAAGGCGAAAATCACAATACATGAAATGAAAAAATATCAGTTGGCAAAATGATGAAAAAAATAACTGTTTGCTTTTCTAAAGTGAAAAAAATTTAACAATATATTCAACGATTATATATACAAATTTCAGCAATGCGTATTCAAAAGTTGAATGTAATTCTTAAGTCTGTAAAGAAATAGTTAAAATATTATGCATTTAAGAGGTTAAGTAGAAAAATAAAATTTAATTGTATTAATTCTTAGTTTTAATAACGGATAATCAATAGTTGAATATATTTTTAAAATAGGTAAAATAAAAGAAAGAAATAAAACTATACTGTGGTTATTTAGTAGATATATGAATAAATTTAGAAACATATCTCTTTCAAGTCTTCAAATAAATACATGAAATAATACTTATTTTATTAACCTTAGTAAAGAATTGGAACAATATTCGAGATATAAATTAGAAATTGCATATTTAAAAACTGAATATAATTAGACAGTAGAAGACAAGTAGAAAAAAAAAGAATACCTTGCACAAATTTGAATGGTTGTACATTTAATAACTGAATGTATTTTTAAAGTCAGTAAATAAATAGGTAATATTATTATCATAAAGCGAAAATGAAACTCTAATAAAAAAAAATTGTCAAAAAACAGTAAATAAATGACAGATATTCCCCCTTACTTTGACAGATTCATCTGAAACATTGGCATCAGTAGGGGTAACAGATTTATTTGAGGCACTAGAGATATCACCAGTGTTTACATAAATAGGATTATCTCCTAAAACAAAACAAAAAATATATTGTTGGAGCCAAACAAACAATGTATAACAAATAAAGAGGCATAGACATCAACAAAGAGCAATAAATAAATAAACAATATGCAGATGATATAGAATAATTGAGAAACATACTTGGAGAACAAAGTGAGGTGGGGACATCACTTCGTCTGTGGTGCTGGGTAATAATTCTTGGCTTTGGGGGAATTTTGGGCGCAGACATATCCATTTCTTCTGCCCTAGAGTACGATAATTAAATGTTCTGTTATCGATATAGTGATATAATTAATAATATTTGATACTCAGCTCTCATTCCCTGTGGCAGAATTTTTTTGGGCTTTCTGCGACAAACTTCCCTAGCACTAATATTTTGCTTTAATATACTTTTAATCACATCAATTACTAATTAAAAGTAACAGAAACGTTGTGCATAATAGTATAGCATAAAATTACATCAAAATTTTTAGTTGTAAAAATAATATTTCTTTCATTCTAATATTATAGACGATATTCTCGCATTTTGTAGGCGGAAAAATTCACTAATTATTTCCACTTTTAAAATTTGTTAATCATTACACAAATTAAAAATTGTAAATAAATTAAACAATAATAAATTAAAAATTGTAAAATCTGTGCTGTAACTCCCCAAAATAAAAATCGACTGCGAAATCACGCGAATAGAACTCTTTAAAAAAGAGATACTCAAATAAGTGCATATAAAACATGGTGTTGTTTAAAGGGAAAAAAATGAAAGAAAGAACATCACTTCTAGAGCGAACTACCTTTTGAACTTTCATGATTTTTAAATTTTTTATTTTACATTATTAATTTGAAATTCTAGCTGAAGCCAATCATTACCGATTTTTTTAAAAATCTCAAATGAGAACAGAAAAATCGCGATTTTTTTTCCCGTCTGGTGTGCAAGAAAGACAACATTTGAAAAAAATTCTGCCGAAAAAAGCATTTTCGAAAAACTATACAGAAAGGAAAACTAAAGTTTTTCCTTTTCCCCCCAAAAAAATCTTTCTCCAAAAACTCTGTAACCTTCTGCGACAATGTCACCGTGTTGCTGCCTCGGGGTTTTCATGTATGTCCAAAGGGCTTAATACCAACTAACCAAACCAGTGCTGTTATGAAGCAATTCTGATCGGTAACTGGCTTTCATTGGATAGTCGATTTCGTAAAGCAAATTTTTTTTGAAACACGAGAATCTCGAAATCCTAAATCAAAATTCTGTACAATTCAAGCAAAAGTGAGGTTTGCAGTGAGCTTTAACTATTTAGAAAATTAGAATAATTCATATATAATAACCTGGCAACAACACATAGTTTCATTTCTGTGTGATGTCAGTGGCTCCAACAGTGACGAAGTTTTGCAATAAGCTCATTGCAAATGCTATTGCTCTTAAGAAATTGGTTTTTAAATTCAATTTCAGGATAATTGAAGACTTTTAACTATTGAGGCCAATGAATCCTCCTCTTTATGATGTTTCTATCATGCTCTCCATCAATAGCTAACTGAATGATCAACAATAATGTCATGTTTACCTCTAAAATAAAGTTTTAGCACAATAGATGTTGTCTACGTTTAACCTACCAGAATAAAAAGTGTAGCTATTCTACTTTGAATCTCTATCAAAACGGAATCAAGAGTTCAAAATATGCCAAAATCAATAATATGCCAGAATCAAGAGTTCATAATATGCCAAAATCAATAATATGCCAGAATCAAGAGTTCATAATATGCCAAACTGACATTAAAGTAATAATGATGTCATGAGAGCATCGTTATGACCTGAATCAGATACCATAAAGCTGGCAATAAAGCACCAGTTCAGAAAAATACCTTTGCATGAATTTACTTTTGATTAATTTACCTTGGTCTGATTAGTTATCCATTTAAATATAAAGAATGCTTAATGTCATTGGTACCCTTAATTATTTATTATACTGCCTATTATATTTATTACATGAATTTTGTTGGGATTTAAGAAAAAAACTATGAAACTGTTATTCATAAGTGTCTAAAAACTCAAATTAGAAAATTTCAAGCTGTAATTTAGTGGTATTTGATTTAAACAGATATTTTATTATTTAGTTTGGGTACCTAAAGATAATTTGAATCAAAATTGAATCGCAGACATCTTTTAAAATTTGACGTAGCAGATTACATATTTCAAATAAAAATTTTAAAAAAATCAATCATTATGATGGGTTATATGATGTTTAAAAATTATTTATTAAACATTATATGTTTGCCTTACCTCAGAGGTAAAGGGGGAGGGTATATTTTGTGAGTAGGGGTGGCCTCTTCACTGCAGTCGTCTGCAATATCTTCAGGCAAATAATCTGGGGATGGTATCTCCATTGGACCATCACTATCATTCTGAAGAGGTCGAAAAGTATGGGATGTTATTGCTGGTCGATTGTGCCTCTCGTATGCTGCAAGACAGGGCAAATTTACTTATGTATGTATCAATGCAAAGTATTTGAGCAAATCATGTGAAATTCAAAACAAAATAAGATTAATACTCATTTTCCAATTACAACCAAATCCGTTTTAGTGAAATCCGAAATAGCAAAAATTTTAATGTAATGAATATTTTTCGAATCCCCAACTCCACAGAAACAATGAATTAAAAATACCGATATTACGTAATTCCTAATCAGATTTAATGAGGGTGAAAATAAGCATAAATTTTCATTTTCTCTCAGGATCAAAACACTTTTCCATTCATCAAAAGTGCACAATGATCTCAGAATTCAAATACTTTTGCATCATCAAAATAAAAAGTTTCAGATATGAAAGGGGTTTGTCAAAAAAGACAAACCACTTAGAAGAGACCATCTTGAAAAGACTAAACCTCAACCCATTCATGTTTGAAGAAATAAAAATACATGTGGATTTTCAAAACAGTGATTTCCAGTTCAGTTGTTTCAAAATGAGCATAATTTTGAGAAGTTTGTAATTTCTATTGGTTCTAAATCATGTATACAGGAAAAAAATTACGGATTACCTAATTTCTGACAGGTAAATGATAATAAATCCATTGTTCCTTTTAATTTTATTGTTTTTGAGTACTTTTAAAATAATGATTTGATATTTTCTTCACATAGAGTACAAATATACCAAAGCTGTAATTCAATTCAATATTTATTATTTTTTATGCAGAAAATTCCAATGTAACAAAATAATTTCGGTTAATGTTGAAATGCGTAATATCAGTATAATGAATTTTTGTTATTGTGTAGCGATTGCTTCGGTCCCTAGGAATTTGCTAAAATGGGATTCGATTGTATATACTGTGGTATTGCTTTTATGATGTTTTGTTACTTTTATATATATGTGGTATTGCTTTTATGATGTTTTGTTACTTTTATCTTTGCTGCACTGCTATAATTACTTTAAAGTTTTAGTTTCTCTTTCATAAGTTTTCACCTGCCCTTCTCTGCCCTTAAATAATTTAGCCAAAAATAAAAATAAATAGCAAGTATAGCCCTACTTATTTTGTCATGGTGGTAACCAATAAGAGTTGAGTATGCTTTGGGGGCTTGGTTAGAGGAGGTGAGAAAAAAGGCGAGGACACACATGGTTTTTTGGAGAGCTGAGGTTAATTTTTTACCATATAGTAAATAAAATAAATTGTCCGATTAAATACTCTAAACGACAACTATTTACATCGATAATACTATAGATACATCGATCGTAATAGTACTTTTAATGAGTATGGTAGTATTTATTAAGTGTAATTAATAGTGCTTAACAGGCTTCAGTAATTCAGAATATCTTTACAGTTCTTAAGGTCATAATTTATCAAAATAGAAAAATTTTACATGTTAATTAAAGCAATTTGTATAAATAAACACACACACACAAAATAATTATTTGCACTGAATAAATTCCAATCTTATTTAAACAGACTATAAAGCAATTTTAATTGGTGTGGTCTGAATTAATTAGCTGGCCTGAATTAATTAGTAGAGATAATTATTTAAGCTACAAAATCAGGTAAACATATGTTTTTGTTTTGTTTTGACATATTTAGATTTTCAAAGATATAAAGGAGAGAGTAGCCACGACTTTGAAAATATGACATTTTTCTTTAGGCAAAAGTTTTTTATTTTATTTTATAAACGTTGAGCTTATAACAGCTGACCCAATTTTTGGGTTTACGACTACGAATGTTCAACTCCGTAGCCTTGTAACTTTGAACCCAATCCAGAAGACACAGGAACTGCTGATCAAGTATTAGGAGAAATTTGTCTTCGTGGAGGACTTTTTGGTGTAACTAACCTGCATTTGCATTACATGTAGAGGAAAACCTTCCCCAGTTAGCCTGACGGCAAGGGGACTCTAACCCATGATCCGTCTACCACTGAGGATATTTTATGTCAGCATTGTGGTTGGTGCAAACCGTGTGCAGAATTTGTATCGATCAACCATCGCTGATTTCGAACTCAGTTCGCCTCATTAGAAGGCAAAAGCTCTATCCCCTGAACCAACATGGCTCTAGTCAAAAGTTTGACTCTTTTAATTCTAGTTTTACTTTTGAGTATTCTCTAAAACTAATTGCAGAAAAAACAAAATTCAAAATTTCTACTTAATGAACACTTACACAGGTCCTCTTTGAATCCATTTATAAAAACCAATAATCTAAAGACACTTTCAAGTAAAAAAACTAAAATTAATTGATATTTTACGTAATTTCAGAATGACTGAAATTTTTTTAGCATGAGTTCATAAAAACTTGGAGTTTCTCTTCTACTGTAATGCTTAAGAATTGGAAAAAAACAACTTAAGGTGAAAATTCAACAAAAAAGTAATAATAATAATAAAATAAGTAAATAAAAATAATAATAATGAAATATTGTTTTTAAAGGCAGTCATGATGGTTTGTAGACATAACCATAATCATATATGCAAAAGATAAAGCATACCAGAAGAAATAGTATGAGGGCGCTGAGATTTAGCAATAGAGGCAGCTGCTTTTTCGAATTGGAGAGTATCTTGGAGATTTGGCCAAGTAGACATGGCGCAAGGGGCACCAGGAAACGAAGGGGAAGACATATCTTTTATTGCTGAACCATCAGAATTCAAGGAATTATTAGCCTAAAATAAAAAGTAGATTAAGGAATTAAAAAAATCAATCAGAAAAATATTTATACTTCTGTGTAATAAGAACCACCAAAAAGGCAAGGTGACAAGCAAATTTGGCATTTTATTTAACGACGTTAGACTATCAGGCTATTTCAGAAATTATTATTTAAATATTTCAACACAAAAGCAAAATTATGTTAATATTGCATGATTGTAATTATTTCTCTGTTTTTTATTGTTATTATTTATTTTTTTAATATATAATTTATTAATTATAAAAATAAATAAATAATAGGTTGAGATATAAGATCATCTCATTTATTTATCTCTCTGATGCAGAATTTTTTTATCAAACATATTTTCCATCCTTTTTTACTATTTTGTTTCAATTTAGGACAAATTAAGTGAAATATATAAAATTTAGCATTTTAATAGTTTATGGCTGTGATATACAGCATGAAACACAGCTGCCTTTATCTGTATTAAAGGTAAAATCTTACAAACACGGCTCACTTTCAAACAATACTTTTTCAAATTTGCACTTTTTTGCAGTTATTTAGATCTAAGAAAACAATTATTCATTATTGAACTGTCTTTCATTTACAAAATCACTTACTGATAGAATTTTAAATAAGACTGAAAAAAATATTTTCAAACTACTTTTTTTGGATTATATATTTTAGTATAAATATAATTTTGATAATCTAACACATTTTTTGAGTAACTATTAGATTATTTTTTATTATTAAAAAATATCATAATATACTTTTGTTTGTAATTAGAGCAGAAAAAACAACAACATAGAAACGATATATTGGTGTCCCATCTGCGACAAAAAATATACAATGAAGGAAATTATATTGATTAATTTATTTTTTTTCAATGCTAGACCAGTAGGCTCACAAAAAAGAGGCAGGTCGAGTTTGAGATGGATAGATGGCTCAGAAAAACATCTTTTTGTCTTAAAAACTAAAATCTGGAAAACGCTAGCAGCAAAAAGGTTAGCCTGGAAAAAACTTCTTGGGAAGGACAAGATCCATACTGGGCCATCAAGCCATTTATGATGACGATTGACTTATTTATCTAGCATATATAAACTCAGAGATTAAATTTTAAATTGTGACTAACCATTTTGACAATGTTTAGTTCAATATTTAGTAAAAATTTATCTGAGCCCTACAATGCAGAAGTGCTAAATTTATCCAAAATAAAATAATGTTAATTTACTTGATCAGTGAGCTCAACAGGTGGTGGAGTTGGAAGCCTCGGAAAGAGTGTGTCTTGGGAAGTAAAACCAGAATCTTGGGATGAGACACTCGACAATCGGAATGCTCCACTGGGTGGCTGCAAAAGTATTTAAAACAAAAATATTTTACATTAATTTATTTACAAAAATAATTCATTTTAAGTATTTAATAAGAAAGAACAAAATAAAAAGAGAGTTAAGTCTTGAAAATTAGGTAAGTTCAGTAACACAGACAGTAAAATGTGTTCCGTTTGCCACGAACTTCGATAAAAAAAATTTCTGTCTTTTCTCAGATATTTTCAAACAGCGATAATTAATTTCATTATATTATCAATCGGTGTCATAAATTTAATTTTTTCACATCAATCATATCAATTTTTCTGTTATGTCTTATTCTTATGCGTAACATATATTACTATAATGTAAACTATAATATAATAATTATTGTAAACTATATATAATAATAACTATGTAACATAAACTATAAATAAACTTACTATAGAATTTAAAAAAAGAGCGTTTAAAAAAATTACTACAAGACCAATTTTTTTTAAAAAAATATTGAACCTTAAATTTAAATGAATTCCTTTTCAATGAATTTTTGGGTATTTTTTTATGAAATTCTCTAATATTTCCTTGATTTTTTTCTCCACATTAATATGGTTTCCTGACGTTTCTCTGTACTCCTACTTTTCTCTGTTTAGTAGCCACTCTGCTCAAATCTCTGCAAATTTTCAAGTTGCAAGCAGTAACTTGACAACAGATTTTTTTAACTTATTAGTTCATTGTATCATATATATATATATATATATATATTTAAAAAATATTTCAACTTATTTTCAGAAGATCAGAGAAAATTACCGCTGCACTGATTGTAACAGTAAAGTGAGTTAATTGACAATACTAGATTATGCTAGAAAGTTAAATTATGCTTACTTATGCTCAGAATTTAGTTTAACTAAAAGTTATGACTATTTATTCATTTGCCTTTGTTTTTCATAAACCAAGACAATTCATTTACAAGGAAAAGTTTTTCTTACTGATTTTCATAGTTAAAAAACTTTCACCCCATAAAAAATACACGATTCTAGGTGTATTTCTCTGAAACTGTTTGTAGCATGATGTTACAATTTTTGGTTTTTGAATAAATATGTTGTTATAATAAAATTTATTATGTAACAATTAGTTGCAAACAGTTAGTAAAATTATGGACACTAATCCAAAATAGTTATAAATTCATGCTATCTTTTCATGCGTTTTTCTTTATTGTATTTATTTATAAAATTGCAATAATTTCATTACAAAAAATACTGCAAAACTATTTTTAAACATTAAGTATACAAGGTGTTCTGTGATCTTTACTCTCAAATAATTTTAGAATCTTTGCCAGGTATGAAGTTAAGCGAGGGAAAAAAATGAAAGAAAAATTAAAATTTGACCCATCACTATTGAGTGATGGGATTGAGTGAAGTGAGATTCAGAACATCAAAACTACTTTAATTTTTGGAAGAAGCAGATATAAATTGAAGAGTGATTATTGAAAATACTTTTAGGTTTCGTCAGGCTAACAAACTAATCTTGATGCTTTTAATAGGTTTTCTCAGCAGTGATTCTTTCTCAACTGTAACCGTAATATTGATGACTTTATTTTTCTTTCTTTGCTTAAATATTGATCAATTTTCATACTTAATTTGTAGAAAAAAGATTCCAAAAGTTTTACCTGATAATCTAGAATAAATGTGGATATAATACACATAGCTGCACAATGCATCAGTTAAAATAAAAAAAATTAGAATAATTTTGATGAGAAAAAACAACAACTTATAGCCATAAAAAAATCATGTGAATCAATATTAAACGAAAACTATTATTTTTATATAGTATATTGCTGCATTGCACAGTACTATGATATACTCTTACATACTAATAAATCTATAGATTCAACTCTTGGGCCTAAATGATTCCCAATATTTTAAAGAATTACTGAAAAAAAAGACTTGTTTATCATCAATCAGCTACAAACATTAAAAAAAAAAGAAAAACTTTGAAAAAATTGAAAATTTTTTAAGAAAATCAAACTTCTCATTTACGTAATAACTGCACCTTAAAAAGTGAATCAATCATTATAGCAAATAATCTTTTTATAAAATTTCTGTAACACATTTAAAAACTTAACATTCAGAAAAGAGAAAAGACCCTAAAATGTTAATTTCCCAATGACTTCAGCAACAACAAAAAAAATTCTCTGAGTATATCCTGATTTTTTAAGCTCATATTAAATCTTCCCAGTTTTTCTTGGGATATTTAAAGCCTGTTGATTTGCAAATCCCAAAGTAAATACTTTTTGTATTTATTTTAGCAGCATTATTAAGGGTGGTGATTCTTGTATGTTTCTGGGGGGGATGGACGAGCTATTAAACTGGTCAAATAATTTAAATATAGGTGCTAAACAATATTACTTCAATTTAAATTATTCTTTCACATAAAGTGAAAACATTTTAAATATAGTTTTACTAATATTGCCTTACAGTCTTTTATTTGAATGCAATCAAATATTATTTTCAACATAAAGTAAAAATAATACTCTGAGTGTTTGAACAAAAAATTGGGAAATTACCTGAGAGAGTGATCTGCTCCGTTGATGAGAAGACGGGGAATGTGTGCTATCACTTGATGAACTGTTCAGACTGCTGATGCTACAAGTGCTCGATTTCCTAGAGCCTACAGAAGTTGGAGAGCTTGGAGGAGTCTGGAAAATAGAGTTCACACAATTCATCAATAAATAATACTAAATCAGCAATGAAGTTTCCTTTTCAGTTTTTTTTTCTTTTTCAAGGGAACTTAATAAACTAAATAAATCTTAATCTAAAGGTTTCCTACCAACATTTTTGAAAGAAATAGTATTTTTAATTAATTTACATCTTGTGAGACTTTTTTTAGTGTATTTTTAGGAGAAACTTTTTACCAACCTAATAAGATCAAAGAGTTAACAACTTTGTAAAATAATAGAAAAAGTAGCATATTTTAGTAGTATTTATGAAGTATATTTTGTGGAATACTCACAAAATATACTTCACAAGTATAAATCACACCAATGAAAGAAGAAAAGAAAGAAATTTGAACCCAGTGATGCACAGCAACTTCAAAACAGTACTTAACTCCAGATGTTCCAAATCTAGATGTTACTATGACCCTTTAATATTCTCAGAGACGTCATAAGTGTTTTACAACTGGTATTTTCATCCAGAGAGCAACTGAATTTCGTTTAAAAATTTCCACTTTCTTTTAAATTTATATTTAACATTTAAAACTGGAAAACGTTATTTCTATTTTGCCCTGTAAATGAAGTGGAAAAAAATACATTCTTCACATTTTCACCCATAAAAATATTATAAATAATTAGTAAAAAAAATTATAAAATTTTAAAAAAAATGATTTTTGCAAACTTTTTTAGATTATTATTTAAGTAAGACCCTAAGATTATTATTTAAGTAATACAAAATTACTTACTTACTTCTAAGAGTTGCTAACATTATTATATAAAATACAAATATTAAGCAATATAAAATTTGATGGGAAAAATACATAAAAACTTCTTTTTCGGAATGAAATTGGATAAAAACCATGTTTATTTTAATAATATAAATGAAAATCTAATGTTTTAAATTATTTATTTTCCTACTGAAACAAAAAAAAAATTTAATTTAAAGTGCTCCACAAAATGTTTTACTTACATCTCTGGAAGTTAACAACAATTAAACAACGATTCTTAACAGTGGTCAGAAGCAGCAAAACAGAAGTGTTACAAGTAGCAAAACTTTTGCAATTGCTACCTTTTTTGGTAGTTTGTAAAGTAGTGGGCTACTTTTTTAAAGATTCCCGGCAACTACTTTTAACGTTAGTTAAATAGTTAGCGTTAGTTAGTTAACATTAGTTAGTTTTATTCACAGTTCACAAATTGAATTATTAGCTAAGAACTATCACTACTTTTAGTTTAGTGACCAAAGAAATAAACAAGTGAAAGCTTTTTATAAATAATTAAAGCAAAAGAGAAATTCGATTGAAAATTTCGATTAATACTAATGAAGTTTTGTTTTGATCTTTAATAGGTAAGTTATTATTTGAGTGAGAGTGATCATATTATCAGAAAAGTTATTATTTGAGTGATCATATTATCAGAAATATAAAATAATATACTCACTCTGAAAGAAAAACCAGCTTCAGAGCTTTTGATATCAAGAATCACTTGTTCACTAGCAGGTGGTAAGTTTAGAGGGTCTTCTATAAGTTTCCCAAGGGCATCTAGAACTTCTTGGATATGAGTCACCTCGTACATAGTGGCTAACTCAGCTTCCTATTCAATTAACAATACAAAATAACCCATTTGTAGAATTTTTTTAAAAAATAGCGGCTAAAAAATAATCAACATTTAAAGGTTTTTAATGTTCTGCCTAAAATGGTAGGAAAACTTTCAACAAATTAGATATAAAAAAAAGAAATCATCTTAAAAAAACAAATATTGTTGATATTAAGTGCCATAATTCTGTACTTAGATGTAGCAAAACTAACTTCAGATTAATATTTAAAATAAAATCTACATTTAGTTACAATGATAGCTTTGGTTAAAATCAGTAAAAAATTAGGTAATAAATTACTGAAAATCATATTTTTGGTGTTCTTAGAAGAGACCATAATTAAATAACAAAGGAAAAAAACTTCTACACATGAAACCAATTATAATGGAAATACAGAATATACTGCTACTCTGAATGCTTAATAATTTAAAAAGGTATTTTAAATTATGGTCCTTAGCAATAAGTTTTTATTCATTTGAAGGAAGAAAAAATCTTCCAATTTAAATTGATTTCATTTTTGAAAACAAAGGTAACTCTTAGTTCATTAATTAAAGTTAAAGAGTAATAAAAAAAGGCATTTTGAAATTTAAAAATAATATATATATAGTGTAGTTTAAGAGAATTTGTGTCATCCACAACAATGTTCTTTCTTACATTATAGTCTGCAAATCCTAATGATATTCATTTTAAATTATGACTCTTAGAACGAATCAAATCCATTCAAACACATCCAAATCAAATCAAGAGATTATTTTTAAGAAAAGACTTTTGCTAAAGAAAAAATACAGAATATTCCGATATTTCTACAAATGTTATTTTTACAAAATACTAAATTTACAAATAATTATAAAAACTAACATTTAATTTTAAAATTACATAGCTTTAGTTACAATCTAAATTTTGAAATTTGAAAACTCAATCACCGTCATTCAAATCTTTTTAATTACAGATTATTTAACTACGTAAATTACAAGTTTACATAATTAGCATTAAAGGACAATTTGTAAAGCAAAATTAAAATGAAAAAATAAATTATAAAATAAAATGGAAAAAAAAGTTGTTGAAAGCAAAAATCAATGTCCTTTTTTTCCAGGTAATATCTATAAATCCTTCATAATATCTATTAGTTTCTGTTGACCAAAACTAAAATGACAGTCAATGTAAGAAAAGACCAACGATCAAAACGCAGCCACATACAAAATCTTAACAACATTCAATTTTTAAGTCACCTATTAAAATATAAATACTGTACAGTAATTATGAAGAAAAAAAACATATAGAAAGGAAAATTGTTCATGCATTTATTTGTTTGCCAGAGATAAAAAAGTACAATAATAAATGAATATACACAACAAATGAATTTAAATTAAAGTTAAATATATCTTTACTTTTTAATGCAACATACAGCACTACTTCTCCTTTTGTGACCACAAATATTTTATGTATTTTGCTGTGTTCATGAATATTATTTACTACTAGATTTGTTTATTTATTTCAGTTCCTTATTTATTAAATCAAAGCATTACTGCAAGAATATGTTGTGAAACAAAGGGACATGAAGGTTAATTTTGAGGCTAACAAATCCTATAAATTTCAAAACACTCTTCAATGAAACATAAACCAAAATACTATATAATAACATTTAAGAAAGAATTCAATGGCAGAATAATACAGAGCTCCTACTCAATTTCAGTAAAACAAAAATTCATTGACTTTTCCAGATATATCAGATAAATTTCAATGAAAATTTATACTATATTTTAGCTATACCATGCATTTCTTCCTTAGAAAACTTTGATTTTTTTTATTTGTAGTGTCAAATATTAGATTTTGTGAGCTAAGATATATATTAGAATGATAATGGAAGCATGGAAAAGTTTCACTAAAAAGTGGAATTTCATAAAATAATTGTAATAGATGTTAGAATAACTTGACCACCTAACCGGAACATATGCTCCTGCACCCCAGAGCCCAAGGTCCAGAAAATTGAGATGGGCACAGTAAGCGTTGGCCCTTTTTGGGCTGTCACATCACTGAGTTTAGTTTAGTTAGAATTACTTGATTTGATTCTCAATAACTGATTGCTGTTACTTAGAATTCTAAGACTGGTTATTTTCCAGGTATAATATAGCAACTATCTAGGCTTTTAGCAAAAAATTTTAAATTTTCCTGACTATTCCCTGATTTTTAAAATTAAAATAAAATTCCATGGCAATTCCAGGTTTTCTCTGTTCTCCCTGACTCGGGGAAGCCCTGTAGTTTGTGTTAACCCAAATTCAAACAATGTTAAATAATGAAGAAATTAAACAGTTTTATTAACGGAGTCTGGCGTGAAAATAAAACGAAAAGGAGAGAAGATCACTGAGATGCCTCAAGATCTTGAAACCCATAAAAAGATAAAATAATTCTTTCAAAGAAGACACATCCTTTCAAAAAAATTAATGAAAAAATTTTACAGTTATAGTAATATTTACAAAGTAGAGGCCATTAAAATATTTCGTTTTCTTTTTCTTCCCTCTTAACAGAGTAATTTCATTATGCTTATATTTATTGCCAGTAAGACATTTGGTGAACTTAAAATTTAATACTTCAGAGCTCACAAAACAAATTAACTAGTAGAACTGTCACAAAAAATAGCAAGACTCTAGGAAACAACATTAAAAAATAATTCTATCAAACTATAACTAGTACTAAAGAGAATCTAGTAATAAAGAAATTTAGTAAAACAAAGGAGATCAATAAACAAAAATAAATAAAGAAATAAACAAATCTAGAAGTAAATAAAGTGAATTAATTACACATTAATACTAACATTCTCATGAATTACAGAATGAAAGTTAATAGAAGAGGATAAGGGGAAAAAATCAAACGATTCTTACGACAACAGGTCGAAGGCAGTTTACAAAAAGGCAGTATCTTGAACGCTCTTCAATAAGAGCTTTTCGCAAAGCCTGCTTTTCAGTTTCCTCTAAGAGGTGATATTTATTGTTCACATCACGAATGGCACAATCCAAAGTCTTCTTCGCATCTGCTTTTGGAGCTGGAAATAACAAGCATAAGTCAGTATAAACCAGAATTGGGCAAAAATGTAATCGATTACATTTTGGGTCAAAAATGTAATCGATTACTTGTAATCATGATTACACAATAACATAATTTTTATTACAGCATTAATCCTGATAACAACAATCAATTACAGTAATCAATTACTTGTAATCTTTATTACAATTCACCAAAATTTTGATTACAAGTTTAATCATAATTCCAAGAAATTGTGATTGAAAATAATGACAACAAAAAGGATTACGGGTAATTATGATTATAAGTAATCAAAATATACGATTACTTGCAATTAAGATTACATGTAATCATGATTAGAAGTAATTGATTACATAGCAGTAATTATCTGTAATCAATTAGAGTTGTAATCAATTTCTGTAATTGGTGCCCAACTCTGGCATTCAATTAATGGTTTATAATATACCCTTTATCAAATAAACTCAGTTTTAAAAAATTTAAGAAACGTTAAGTCTAGCATATAAATTGAATAATAGAAGGAAATAATAGGCAGGTTTCAAATCAATCTATGTTCCTTTTGGAATGCAATACAAAGTACAATCTTAAAGAAAGAACAATTACCTTTTCGAACTTTCTTTTGCAACCTGAGAGTATCAGATGACTTCTTTTTTATATCTTGTCTTACACGCTTGTATTCTGAAAGAAAAATTTCCAATTAACATACATTAGATGCCTAATGAACAAGATGGACAATGCAGATAATAGTCTGATTAAATCATGAATGATTTAACATTGTAAAAAATACTCTGAAGCTGTCAGCAAGCTGGTGATCTTCATCTCTAAGAAAATTAGAAGATTCCTTAGGGAATATTTGGTAGTTAAGTATAATATATTTTATATGTATAAAACAGGCTTAGTTTTTCTAATACTTCTTTATTAATTCACTGGCAGTCTAACACTTTATTGCTTATTTGGCAGATCATAAGTTAACTTAGACTGTTAATCTTAATAATAACTTAGACAGTTAACATATGTTACTCTTTATATTTTCTGACAGCAATATATATCAAAAAATATTGTTTGCTTTTAATACACTTATGTTATGTGATAGCACAGCGCTCTTTATGTCACAACAAATATTGTTTTATAATTTGATTCTGGAAGTTCTAACTTTCTGACATTAAGAGAATTGAGAAATGATTTGGTTAAACAATATGACAAAAATTAAACAATTGATGTCTTTCATTGCATTACTATTATTTCTTATTTATATGCCAAAATTTATTAAACTGATTGACTATTTCCCAATAAAAAAAATCTAAAAAAAAAATATTTAACTTTTTTAATGAAAGATGTCATTAAGTAAATGAGTATTCATATTTTTAAATCATATAATGAACTTAATTTTTTTTTCAATGTTTCGAATTCTAATGCTTGGATTTTATTTGGGTGAAGTATAAAATAAAAATTTTACACTATATCTTATCAAATAAAATAAGATTATATATAAAAAAATACCCAATTTTTGGGTTCTTATAAATACAAGGTTTAAATATATGGGATGAAATATTAAATAAAAAGTGTATTATTAAAAACTTAAAATTTTACAATCTTTTTAAAAAATGTTGCAAAATTTTTTTTCCCAGCAGCTTTTCAGATAAGGAAATTTTCTCCAATATCTGAAAAAAATCCCCTTAAAGACCTTATTGTTACCTACAAATAGGATAAACATAATAAGAATCTCAGAATATTTAAAAGCAACATTAAGTAGAAACTTTCAAAACAAACAAATTTTTCTGCAACATTTAGCTTCAAAATTAAAATAAATGAAAAAAATTTCACTTCATAGCACAATTTATAGTAACATCCACTGTTAAATATCTGCCCTGAATCAAGGCACATATAGTTTCAAAACAATAAAGACAAAATAATTTGCATCACAAGACAGCAAAATTTAAAGCAATGACTATAGATACATCCATTTTATAAAACACAGTTATGTAACTAGCTACATGGAAGCAAACACAAAAAGAAAACACAAATACAGCAAACGAGGAAGTATTTATCTGCAAATCAATATAGAGACATATCAAATCAATTCACACACAGCCAAAGAAAAAATGTGGAAGGAAAAATAAAACTATGTTCTTCGAAACTTATTACGAAATAATAAGTAAACGGGAGTTTATGAACGAAAAGTAAAAGAAAAGCATGCAGAAAACATCTTTTCAAAATAATACAAAGTCTATTTTGAAGGCAAAGAAAATTTGGAAATAAACTGGTGTAAATAATAATGTGGGATTAGAATAATGGATAGGGTTCATTGAGAAACCTTTTGCATGATCCTTATCCATTTGATATGCTACTTTCTTCCAATCTTCCAATTTATCTTGCAAAGGGATCACTAAGTGGTCAACCAGTGAGCTAGAAACAAGGAATGAAATATTACGGCAAAGTCATTAAAAAAATCTGTTTCCCTGGGAGACAATTTTTGTGATTTTGTCCATGTTTTGGAAAACATGTCCCTTAACCTAGGGCACAAATCAGTGACCGCGGAAGCATTTCATTAGTGGAGGGGTTTTCTCCCACCTTGTGCGTATATATATATAAATATATATATATATATAAATATATAAGTGTTTTCATAATAGAAAAAAATNCTGAATCTCAGAAAAAGGCAATCAAGAATTCAAATTTTAAATTCTAACTTTATAATTGTTTTAAAATTAAATTAAAAAAAATTTTTTATCAGTAAATTATTTCTCACTCTCTCTCTCTCATTTAATGGTATTTTTTTGTTCTATTTTTTTAATTTATTTATTATTCTGTTCGTTGTGACATTTAAAGCCAACAATCTTCCTATCGGTCAGCACTAGGGACGTATATTTCCTCTACAGGGGGGTAGGGAGGGTAAAGGATGATTTGGTAGCAGTTTTTACCAAAGAAATGTTATAGCTCGCTTGAAATAGATACATTTATTTATTTCTTAAATTTAGACACAGTAAAATTATCGATTCTTTTAATTGTAAATTTCATCACACAAATATTAAGTGAAAAATTTTAATTTTAGACGGGGCTGTGTCTCATAATCTATAAAATGTGAAGGTCTAAAGCCCCCCCCCCCAGGTCTCTGGTATAAATAACAGGAATACTGAGAACGTTACGCATCCCAGCCTGGGACCTGTAGTGAACTTATAGACCATCCTTAAAATAAATGTCTTCGCCTTTCTCAAAAAAAAATTTGTAACTTTTTTAAATTAAATTTTGTAAATGCTTTTTAATTTTAATTTAAATTAATTAATTTAAATTAGAACTTTTTCTTTAAAAAAGTTATATTAAAGACTTTTTTCTAGTAGTTTCTTCGCATTCTTGAAATACATAGACTACATTTGATTTGGAAAACTTCATATTTGGTTACACTTAAAAAAAAATTTCTTTTACAAACTTGAACATGAATCATATAAAAAATAATCCAGATTCTTCAATTATAAATTTCATTGTCTAAATTATGGTACAAAAAATTCCTTAAAAACACTTTTCATTTTACCAGTTAACAAACTATTTAATCATTTTTTTAATGAATTACAACAGAACTAAATACAAAACCATAAGTATTATGAGGAAAGCAATGCTTTGCAAGGTAGTTTTGCTAATTCATAAACTTGAAACAAATACATGAGGCATGTTTCACACCCACTTTACATAATGGCAAAAAAAAGAATCATGTTAAAATTTAGATGAAAAAAAATATCATAATTTAAAAATGAATTCTTAAAAAATAGCCATTTTAACATTAAATTGTTCTGTTGTAATTTTAAAAGGATTTATAACTAAAAGTAGTATATATGGGATAAAATGTTAAGTTGATGTAAGTTTCAAAACAAAAAAAATGAGGAAACACAATTTTTCAAGACAGTTAAGACCTGTTTGAATTTTGCAACTTTTTGTTGATAAATTCAAATTTGCTTAGATTCAGGTTTTTGCAGGGTACTTATAACCTTTAAAAGTAATTTTTAATTACTAACTGAATACAGGTTTCTTAAAATAGAACAGTTTAGAAGTTTCTTTTATAAATACTCAATTTTAAAATAATAAACACTAACTTAAAAATTTTTTCTAAAAAAATGAAAATAATATCATATTTGAAGCAATGAAATAATGGAGTTTGAACTGAAAAGTTGGTGGGAATATTTAAATTCAATTGTAATCTTATCTGTACAAAATTTTGTTAAAAAATTGAAATATTCTCCTTAAATATTATTTTTTAATTAATGTATTAAAACAGGTCAATGAAACAGCTATTTTTGATTGGATTAGTTTTAAATATTACTAAATGCTTATATTATGTTATTCAAATTTTTATCATTTGCTCAAATTTTGAAATAATTATTATAATATTTATTGCGGAACAGGCAAAATTCATCCTTATTTTTAAAGCACAAAAGTTGTACTGTTAATCTTTTCTTAACCATAATTTTTTTTTTAATCTAGCACTATTTTAAAGTAGTTGTCGGAAAAAGGGAAACTAACTTTCAACAACTAATTTTGTAACTTTCTCCTTCATTTTGTAAAATTATAAAAATAACAATGATTTATGTTTGCATAATATACTTAAAATATAATTTTTTTTTCAATTTATTTGTAGTAATTTACCTAAAAACTTTTAGTGCAAAATTAAAATCTAATAAAATATTACTATGTATATTTTTATATTTAAAGTATGTTCAATTTAGAAAATTTAAAGAAAGAAAAGAATTTCTTTTATTTATTCATACATTTTTTTATCTCAAATTAATGGGAGTGAAATATTATATTTTAAAAATTACAGAATTGTAATCATTTCTAAAAATTTTAGTAAACAAATGAAAATATATCTCTTTTTTTATAAGTTCTTTTACATATTTTTTTAAGTATTTAACCGAATGTTTCTTTTTTCCAATTTACCCCCAACTTCTCCATGAGAAAACTCTGAATTTGCCTAAAAAATGTATTAATGTTTCATTCAAGAATATTTTTTATTAAAATTATTGAGTTTTTCGTGCTCATAATTTTTCCAAGACTGACTTCTGTTCTACTCTAACAAACTTATAGTATGTTGCAAAATGCTTATAATTATATGTTATAAGTAAGACAATCACATAAAATGTTTATCTGTAAAAGTAAAAATAATGTAACTATACAAGATCTGAAATGGAAAAAAAAATGGCGATCATAAAAGAAGTATTCCTATGAAGATTTATTACTTAAAAACTAATAGATCAAACATCATGGATATTCATTTCAAATCATGGAATATAAGATTCTAGGGTGAGAAATGTTTTTTAGTTAAAATTGGTTGAAAAAATTGTTATTAAGAAAATAAAAATAAAAACAAGTAAATATTTTTATGGAAACGATGACATTAAGTTAAGAAATCATTAAATAAAAAATATATAATAAATACAAAATGAATAAAAACAAATAATAACTCACAATTGAAAAATTAACAAATCAAGTAAAAATAAGGTGATTTTTCACTTAAACAGTTACATGTAACAACCAAACTGGATTTGAATTAACTTATTAATTATCTACTAATAAAACTCCAAAACATTATGCATGGAAATGAATAATTATTTTGTAGCAATCAACTATTTCATGTTAGTTCTTCGGCTAACATAAAAGCTGTATCAGTACAATGAGCTCAAGCTGTTAAATTCTAAAAAATATGTAATAAATAAATACCAAACAGGATTGATACATGATGACAGAAATTAATATCATACATGGAAATAGAAATGACATAGAAATAGAAATAACATAAAAATATAAATATTTAATTTACTACATTCAATGAATAACACAAGGAAAATACTTTAAAAAGATTTTATAAATAATATGATATTGTTAAGTACAAAACATTCCTAGAAAAACAAAAAAAAAATACAGGTGTTAATCAATATTAAAAATTTTAAATAAATGGCTAATCAATTGTTTAATTAAAAATAAAAGAGATAAGAGAAAATTATTACCCAGAAAATATTTTAAGCTTAGCTTCAATGCTTCTGTGTCTTAAGCATAATCTTGTAAGAGCAGAACCTATGTCTTTAGTAGCTCCTGAAAGAGAAATTTTAAAATAGAATTTCTCAGCAATTTTAATTTCCATAAATTGCATAAAATATTTAGTGACGAAGAAAAAAAAATTATTATTCTAAGTAATTACTTTTAGCATTGATCAATATAAAAGACTGCAGCCCAAAGTGCAGAAATTATCTAAACAATTAACAAACTATGGATAATGTGCAGTATATGTAGGAAATGTGAAAATTAAATAAAATTTTTAAGCCTACTGATATGTTAAAAAAATTGTTGAACATACTGGATTTTAATGATTTTAATCCTATCACCGGTAGTAGAAGTACAATGAATGTTACCAAAAAATGATTTTTTTAAAAAAATGATAATTTATAAAATTCATTAAAGTTAAGTTACACTTTAGACCATTTAAATAGATGCCCTTTTAAAAATATTTAATTACAATAAAGGAGAAGAATAAATTAAAACAATAATAAATGAAAAGAGAAAACTTTTTTCCTCCCCAACCCCTGTAGTGGTTGGGAGGAGAGAAGGGTAGAAATCCGTTTCACAGTGTCTTCCCTACAGCGTGAGAACGGGAGAATCTCACATATTTTTTTTCTTTTCTCGCATTAAAAAATTATTACCGCGAGAAATTCGAACATTCTATAAATCAATTTCAAAATTCACGAGTTTCTAGCATTTTGGAAAAAGCTTCAAATTATGCCATTTAGAATAAAATCCGTTTCACTTTTTTTCCTGGATCTTTCATTATTTTCAACATCTGCCCCATTATCTAGCTTCCCTCTTTACCAGTATTCTTCAGAACCTTTTCGAACAACAGAACACAATCACAGAACCCCATTCAGAACACATTTCTCTGCAACCACGTGTTTACCGTGGGTAAGGTTTCTTCATGTAAGACGTTCAAATTTTTTATGCACTTATGTAAGGTAGACAAATACCTTGTAAAGGCAAAATCTTCAATGATGATGCACTAAAAATATTCAATGCTTTAAAAAATAGAAGATAAAAATGTATTATAAGTAAAGAAATGATTTTTTTTCAAGAGTTTTTGTATTTTTTTTGTTTTTAGAAATCTCACTTAACTTTTTGAAATCTCACCCTGTTTTTGAGAAAGGGTGAGAAATTCTCACCCATTTTTTTCTATGATGAAAACACTGGTTTCAAGAACTTCAGCTTCTGTGCCTCTAAATATTGTTTTTTCTTTTATTCACAGGAACCACACCAAACTTCGGGAGAATGATTTTTATTATGCCAACGGCTAGCCTTCCTCCCCTATGTATATTCATAGTTTGAACCTACTTACTACACAACATTTGTAAACAAGTAGTGCACAATTTTACAATTAAAACAGGTTAAAATAATTGCTGTAAAATAAGCAAATAGAAATTAATGTCTAGTAATACATTTCACATCTAAACTTAACTATTAATAAGCACTTTTATTCATAAAGAATCAAATTTACCTCTGGTGTTTGTAGCCATATCGGCTATTTTCTGAAAAGCATCCAAAAATGCAGTTAATGCTTGAATTGATGTCCTAAAAGTAAATAGATAGTTTTTTTAGTATAATTCATTAACTGAGTATTTTTACTAAAAAAAAAAAAAAAGAAAGAAAGGAAATAAAACATAAATATAAATTTTATTTTGCATGTTTCAGAATAAATATTTAGAGACACAATGTTGAAGAATAAACAGTGTCATTTATGCAAACAACGAAGTTTAAACCTATTACAATTAGTAGAAAGTTGTAAAAAAAGGTAAAAAGATTTAATATGCTTTAATAATTTAAAAGATAAAAAGATTTAGTATGTACTTTTTACAGAGCTTTTTTTAAAACGTCTTTTGATCTTCTGATAAAAAATATTTTTAGTTTTTAAAATCAAAATATGTAAAGTTTTAATTGTAATTTAATTCAAATTTATGGAATATGATATCATATAATACATACATGAATTTTCATATTATTTATTTCACAAAGCATCTTATTTGGATGGGTAATTTGTCTCCTGAACATCCTATCATGGTAGATATGAAGTATATTTATAAAAATACAATCAGTATTTGATAGTTCAAAAACACTTAGTAAAGTTCAGCAATAAAGCTCAAATGGTGACTTCTAGAAATGTGCAATTCTGAATGTTAGTAGCAGAATTTTAATATACAAGAACATATCTGGTCACAATATTATGAAAAACAGAGATCAAACTAATAGTAACAACAATTTAGGCTTAAGTGCCAGTTATAATTGCTTAAAAATAGTGGCAATCTTACAGTACTTTGACTTATATCACCAATAAATAAAAAGAATTCTTTCCAATAATTTCTTCTTGAAAACTCAATTAGCCAAATTTTATAAGGTTACATTTTTAATTACCTACGCACTTAAAATGTGTGCATTCAAAAATAAATGAATTTCTTCAGTTATAAAGTAAGAAAGTTTTTACTTTATTTCCATTTTTATATGTATGTACATTTTCATAAAAAAATTTCTTTCATTATAAATTGAAAAAACTACATAAAAATGCCCACGATTATAATGTTTTTTTTTCTAGATTCTTACAACAGAAACCCTAAATACATGAAACTTTTAAAAATAATTAAATTTCAAAAATGCAAAGATAATTAATTAAAACCTAAAATTTTTACCTTATTTTTTCTAATTGAGTAGTCCATAACTTAAACGAAATTAAGCCTCATGTTATCATTCAAAAATATAAATTAAAACTTAAGTTATATAACATTGCATTGACTTTTTCTAATTTTAATTATATATAGTTTTTTACATCAATATATAAGAAGCAAATCAGTTGATAAATGTAAGATAATTTATTTTTTAAAACATGTTTTCTAATAATTAAAAGTGTATATCGTAAAATATACATTTTTAAATATGAGTATCTTGACCTTATAGTTATTATAAGATACCTATTGATTTTAAGCTCAGAGAGAGAACATTATTTTTTGCTATGATAAGTGAAAACTAAAATTACAAGCTGTTTAAATATTCTTATACAATCTACTTTTTCATTTATTTTTATCTCATTATTTTTCATTATCATGTGTAACTGAAAAATCATGAGAATAATTATAATTGAAAATATTACGATTATATTTTAGTTATTTGCATACTTTAAAATACTTATTCTACACACATAAAAGTTAATTAATTAATTAATAACCAATATTTTTTCAAATCATCTTATATGAGAAAATTTATGGAGGTTCATCTTGAAATAAAATTCTAAATGCATATGAAAACATGGCATCATTTGTTATTATTCAGTTTTTAGTGGCTAACAAAAAGTTTTAAAAAAGAAAAAAATTTACTTCAGGTGTGTGTGCAGTTTAGATGCCTTTCCCAGAAAATCTTCCCAGACAGGAGTGGCAATCTAAAATAAATAATCAAATAGCTTTAAATATCACCAATGCACAATATGCATATTCATAAAAATAGAAAAGTTGCAAAGCTTTACCTTCAAATCATTGATAATGTATTGAAATAAACCACCCAATGCACTGCATTCTTTTTCAGCCAAAGATTCCATTTTTAATTTACAATTCTTTAGCTGGCATTAATCTATAATTATCACTAAATAAAAGCTGCGCTTTTAAAAACAATGGCAGTTTTTTGACGATTTTAGGCAATATAATCAATTATGTCAGCACATTTATAGCATATTCATTATTTCGTATGTTCATAATAAATCTGAGATTTATAGAACTTCTCACTATAAATGAAAGGGCAGGAAAACAGTTTACTGTCAAGTATCCAAATATATACACCTTTATTTATTATTATGATCAATTTTTACTAAGTATTGCATGGATATACTCCATCATTTTACTACGAAATTTCGAACTAAAAATATCAGTGCAGTATATTATTCTGAAGTTTATCTTTTTACAATAGCATTTGTTTACTAAATAAACATAAACAAATTATGATTTGTATACCAATACAGTACGCTTGTCATTATACAAAACGAAACAATTTTCTGGAGCGATAAGAGCAGATTAACGAAAAACGAATCAGTCGTCTGGACGAACGAGAATCGATTATGAAAAATGCGTCTGAACGGCATAAACAATAAATGCAACTTTCGAATTATAGGATTTCCTGGTAAAGAAAACTGAAAAAATAAAATTATAGACATTAAATACAAAAATTAGAGCAATGAAAATTTTTTAATTGATATTTTTCATTTATTGATTCTTTGCAACAACTAAGCTATAAACAAATATAATGATTTTGCATAACGGTCAGTAATCATTCACCCAACACAAACAAACAAACGTGTGTGAAAGAGAAAAATTGTGTACTAAAGGCTTCGATTAATTAAAAAAGCCTGATGTTAAATATAAATTTGTGTCTTCATTCGTATTGATTGCACAAATGATTCATTTTTAACGATCTTTTGATCGTATTGTCGTATTCAACATTTGAATTAGGTGAACCAAGCCTCATATAAAACAATTTTAATAGTCACGTTTTCGGATCTTTACATTATGTCCCTTAAAAATGGTATATTTTTTAAAATATTTCATGAGCATCTTTATTAATTAAGTTTATTGTTATTTCTATAATCTTTCTTTTTTTAAATGATTAGCTAAACTAGAAAATCAGTATAAGAACATGAAAAAAAAAGCTTTTCAGCTTTCGTTTGCTGTACTACTTACTAAGCTACATAAAAAAGAGAAATTTAAGGATTTATAAAATATTAAAACAAGTGTTAAAAAGAAATTCTTTTAATAAGGTTAAACTGTCATTTGGCATACATAATTATTTTAAATATCTCTTTCTCATAGTCATATAATTGAAGTACATATTGGATTTATTAAATTTCTTTAATAAATTAAAGAAAACTGATCTGAAAAATTCACTGCTTTTTTTTTCATCTTTAATATCTTTTTTGCTTAGTCATTTTACAGTTATGTATAATTGTGTATAATGTATATGAGTAGTTGCTATTCTATTGTAAATTGACGGATATAAAAAATAAAAACAATAGTATAAGCTGAGCGGTGGTGGTTCAGGGGATAGAGTGTTCGCCTCCCAATGAGGTGAACCGGGTTCGAATTCTGGCAGTGGCTAATTGGTTCAAATTCCTCACCACCTAGCTAGCACTGACCTCAGTGGTAGAAGACAATCATCGGTTTGAGTTCCATTGCCCTCAGGCTAACCGTGATAGGTTTTCATTGTTTTCTCCCCTATATAACGCAAATGCGGGTGAATAATATTAAAAAGTCCTCCACAAAGGCAAATTTCTCCCAATACTCGATCCAGGAGTTCCCTTGTCTTCTGAATTAGGTTCAAAATTACAATGATACAAAGTTGAACATTGGTAGTCGTATACTGAAAATTCAGTTGACTGTTTGACAATGGTTATAAAATAAAATAATAGTATGTGAAATTTTTTTGATTAAGCCCTCAGTCTCTTTTATTTTAATCAAAAAAGAAAATTTCTATTTATTTGTTGTTTTCTATTATTTGTCATCTTAAAGATTATTTTCTTTTTTTCCCCTATAGGAAGCAAGCCAATGGAAGTTGGTAATGATGAAACACTGCCGAAGAATTGCTTTTCTAGACTACATGCATGTGATGACTATATTCTTCATTCATCTGTTAATGAGTAAGTTTCTTTTTTTTTTCATTTAAATAATTTCAATAAAAAATTAGATAATAAAATCCATAATCGAGCCACTTTTGCATCTCTAGGTCAGTTTCTGTGACTGCAGTAACTATATATCCATTTAAAAAAGAATACAAACATAATCTGTTTTAGTTAGTTTATCCTGTACACCAAAATAAAATTTTCCATTAAGTTTTGCCAAATCTTCCTCAATTTCTACACAAAAATGTGTGTTTTTCTAAAAATTATGTTTTACATTATATTAATTTTCATGACAAAAATAAGAAGCTGGTAAATGTAGTCAAGTTTACACTGTTGTTAAATAATTTATGCTATTATTTGAACTACATTTTCTGGTAAAATTAATTTTTGGTTCTTTTGATAATTCAATGTATATTTTTTTTTGGAATTTTTTTCTGTTTATATGCTTATAACTTTCTTATTCTAGATTGCAACAACCAAAACTCGCTATTTCTGTCTCATCAAATGAAATTTTACTTTTTGATGTCGAAAGCCAAACCAAAATAGGGTGTAATAAAAGTAAGTGTTTTAATTTTTTTCATTTCATTACCATCTCAATACAGGGTCTTTCCCTAATTTTTTAGCCAACACATCTAATTTCAGCAGAATAATAAATTATGTGAAAAGATTGATGATGATACTATGATTCTTTTATATACCATTTCTAATTAGTATCAATTATTTACAATTTGTTTGAACCAAATTATATGGATTTTATAATTAAGGTTATCACAAAGTTTTACTTTTACATGATTTACTTCATGTCCATAATATTAAAAAATGGACATGTTTGTCTTAAATAACTTTTCATAAAACACCCATATTTTTCTCAAATCTGCCACTTTTCTTTATTTAGATATTATATGCAGACATTTTAAACAATTAGCAATGATGAATATGAAATTATGATTATTTGTGTCTTTTGCAGAAACTTGAAAAGTGACAATTTTTCTAGTGTAAGACAGCAGCTATTAAGTTCTTAAACATTTATATAGTTTCTTTCACTTATAGTGAATTTATCATATATTAAATTCTGTGCATTTTATATTGGTCAGAAACCTATACTTTTATAACCAAATCGGATATTCCTCATTATATATGTGTATTGCAAGTAATGTTTACAAGACAATAGTGTTTAATGGTTTTTGTTTGTAATATAGAATGGAAGTTTTAATTTTTTGGATTCAAAATAAAAATTCTAACTAAAAAAAAATTTTAATCTATGTGACAATAAACTTTGATTTAAAAAAAAAGACTGTTAATGCGTTTTGCCTTTTAGCACATCAGAGCAAAATCACAGACCTCAAGTTTAGCAAGCAAGAACCAAATTTGCTTTTTTCTAGTTCAATGGATGGTACAATTTTGTAAGTACGCAAGAAATTTTTTTTTTACTTACTTCTTTAATAGGGCTAATTTTCTAATTAGTCACTGTGTGTTTTGTAAATTTTTCTATAATCTTATAACTGAAGAATTTTATAAAGTATCTTCAACATTATCATTATCTTTCGAGAAGGGTTATAAATACATAAGCTTTCTAAATCCATTATGACAACAAAAGTCTTTTCGATAGAAATAATAATTCATTTTTTGGCAAAGTCATTTAATCAATCCTCCATTATTATGTTTTACTACATTTTTACACAATGCAATTTTCTTCATTAAATTGTATTAAAACACTTTATACTTCAAATACAAGTTTTTATTTAAGCTTAAACCTATCATATTTGACTGATTTTAATTCATTTTCTAGGGTATGTGATCTCAGGAATGAAGTAAAACCTATTCAATCATACAGTGGTAAGATAAAGATATTTTATAACTTCATATAATATATTCAATTTTCTGAAAATATTCACCTGTTAAATCCCACCACTACTCAAACTCTTGTTATAAATAAATACCTGTGTTTTATTTAGTAGATGTAATTATTTGTAAGTGTCAGTTTTATTATAATGTCGAATTCCTACCTATTATATATTTATATATATATATCTGACTTCTCTTGTTAGTGTTTTTACTCTAATATTCTATGTAATGATTGATGCATTTAAAACATCTAGCTGTCTTTCGGGTAGAATAATTTTTCGTACTTTGGGATTATCCCGTCAATTATTTTTGCCAATCCCGATATTATCACCAAATGGTTATATTATTGCTTCTGTGCCAATAGCCACAAATTTTATCATATTTACTGTATAATCCTTGACTTTGCAAATTAGATTTTTCTTTAGAGTGTTGAAATATACTGTTTTTTTTTTAGTTTTTTTTTTTACTCCGCTGCAAAATGATTCAAATTTGAAATCTGCCTAGTACCGAAGACAGTGCAAGGGCATATTTTCAAGATTATGAAATCATTTCTTCTAAAAAAACGTGCGTGAATGGCCGCAATATGAAGTTACTTATCAAAACTGACAAGCACTGGTGGTGCAATGTAAAGGGGTGTGATAAACAAGTAGCTACTGTAATTATTTGAAAAAAGAATGGAAGTTTATATATTTTACATATTAACACTTACATTTATTTGTTATTATTTTATTATTATTAAATAAATTTAATGTGTTTAGAATGTTTATTTTGGAAATTGCTTTTCATTATAATGGCGCCAAAGGATTTGCGTATTTTTGCGAGCATTGACAGGTCAACAAGGTACTTAATTTTTAAATTATAGATATCTTTGAAATTTCTTTCTTGCTTTCATATTAAGGTTAAGTTTTTTACTATATTATTATCTTTTGCCTGAATTCATATTTCCTGAAATTGTTTGATTTCTTTTTACATGAATAAAGAATTATTTTTAAAAGAATTATTTTTTTGTAGACACATGTAAAGAGCAACATGTGCAAACCATTAATAGACCTGACATTAGCTTTTAAAAGTGATTATATTATTTCATTCTACTTGAAAGAGAAACGCAATTTTGAATTTTGAGAGATGTGCTTTTAACTACTCCATCGAAGGAAAATTCCTATTCTTATCTCATTAAATTTTATATCAATTAAAGAACACGTTTCATAATTTAAAACATTAAACAACTCAATTTCTTTGAAACAGTTTAAACAATAAGTTGCATAAGTTTTGTTATTATACTAACCTGTTATATTACATCAAAATTTCTGTTTATTATTTTAATAAAATTTTCTCTTTTCATTTGTCACTATAATATTTGTTTTTAACAGATTACTTACAATTATTTTCTAGATGATTCTGATGGGTCTTTAAAACCATTGACATGCTTTGATTATAATTCTGAAGAGCAGTATATTTGTGCAGGGACAGAAGTTATTCGTGAAGATTCCTTCCTGATATTTTGGTATGAATTTCAGGGATCCATTGGGTATCTTTGTTATTTGGAGGCATGTAGTTGTCTCCAAATGTTTTAACTTATGAGTTTATTCAGTTGCAATCTAGTAGGCTCTATGAACATATTTAACTTATTGAAAGCATCTTCTAATGTCTTGAAACACACAATTTTTTTTAACCAAATGAAAAGCATTCTTATTTAAATAAATAGAACCTTTTTTTATTTTTGCAATAATTTAGAATTTTAATTTCATGATTTTTATTGTATTTTTAAAAATTAATAAATGCTGAGAAAAATTATAAATTATAATTATTGCATTTTTTTAAACTCTTTGAAAGAATAAGTATTTTCTGTGTTAAAATTTAAAATATTTGCCTAATTATTAGCAGTACACATTGCCTTTAATATCATTTCCCCTTTAAATTTTGAAAACAAGATAGTACAGCAGCAAAGCATTGAGATTTATAGTCTTTTACTTTACTCTTAGGCTAATGAGATTCCAATATTTTTAAATTTTTTAAAATTATATCTTAAAGAAAAATTCCAAACTAGGGTTTGAATCTCCTGTCCAAGAAGAATTTTCTGTGAGTTGAAGAAATCATGTTGTTAATCCAAATAATAATAAACATATTAACTCTAAAGAAATTAATGAATGGGGGAGAATTGGAAAGTGTGAGAGTACATAATTACCCTTGAAATAGCACTGTGATTAGAGCTTTACAAATTGTGCAAAGAAAGAGAGGATCACTTAATTCACAATTACCTGCATAATTGTGGAATATCAGCATAAATTTTATTTCTTCACGTAATGTCTTCATTTACCAGATAAACTTGTCTTTACTTTTTTTTCTTTCCTTCCTTTCCAATTCTAAGAATCTTTTTTACTAACTTATCCTTGACTATCCTACATAACATGAATAAAAATCTTAGTGCGATATTTCAAAAATTGTAATGGAATCATGAATAAAAGCAAAGAATGGGTTTTTTTATTATATTTTGTGTATTTGCTTAAAGTATACTATATTTTGTTTTCTAAATGCTTATAGTTTTTCTTCTGTTTTTAACGATTTTTCTTAAGAGAAAATTCGTTTTTGATTAAGAGTGTCGGGATTTACGAACTGTTTAGGATTGTTATTTACTAATTATGTCAACAAATATGGTAAATATGTTTGCTTTTCAGGGATAAGAGAATGTCAAAATCTATTGGAGGATACTGGGATTCCCACTTTGATGAAATCACTCAAGTAATATAAATCACTTTTAAAACTTTTAATTCAAATATAAAAGTGGTTTTAACTAATTAATTATTTTTTCTTATAAAGCTCTTATTGTTTAGTAGTGGCAGATGGGTAAAAGAATAAAATAGTTAATAATAAAGTAATTAAAAATTTTAAGCTTATTTTAATTTGTTTGATATGTAATAGTATTGTTTACATATATTACTGTTGTACATAATATGTGTTAATAGTACGTAATGAATTGTTTTCATAATGTATTGGATATGGGGAAATCTGGTTAACATAAGATAATTATAATAGTCTCGCTAATTTCGCATTCATGAGGTTCGACTGTATTGTAATTTGCTTCTGTCTGTAAGTATAAAATTTAGTTGAAAGATATTTTGCGTAACTTGGGAAAGCTTGGACATGAGAAAATTGGAGCTGATAATATAAAACATTTGTTTGTTCTGTGATGAGGGAGAAATGCAGTTTAAAATTCAATTTTCTATTTTTATAGTCACTAGATAGTAAAAAAGTATATCTTTTGATGATACTCCCGCTATAGTTATTATTTAGTTAACCTATATGAGATTCCTGCTATTTGTTTTTAAAAAAGTTAAGTAACTACAGGGTTGGCCCTCTGCAGGAAGAACATGGAAAACCTGGAAAATACAGAAACTTAAAAATAACCTAGAATAATAGGAAATTTTGAGTTTTTCTTTAGAAATTTGGAAAATGCAGGGAATTTTATTTCTTATTTTCATTTTTTTTAAAAGTGCAATCTATGGGATATCTAAGGATATTTCAGCTATACTAAACTATTTTATTTACTATAGCATTATTTGTTTTAAGTATGTTCAACTGTTCTTTTTTTCTCTAAGTTTTTTCGGCAATTATGACTTGTCTAGTTATCCCGATACAGCTCATACACAGTGATTCTATTTTTCCCTTTAATATATTGTGTATAATATGTACAGGGAAGACATAGGGAATTTTTTTTCCTGGTTTGAGTGCAACTCTGAACTTACTTTCTTAAATTTTGTTACTTTTAGATTGTATTTTATTGAAAGACGAAATCAGTTACTAATTAATTATGCTATAAAAATAAAAATTGGGCAAATAATTCTTCATTGGAAATTTTTTAAACGGTTAGTTGTAGTATAATAATGTAGGAAACAATGTGAAAAACATCAACTAAAAAGTTAAACAGACAGTTTTTTTTTTTTTTTTTTTTTTTTTTTTTTTTTTTTTTTTTNTTTTTTTTTTCAAATAGAAGTATGTACTAGCATGCAAACACCCTGAGCACGAAAAAGAGCATAATTTCTTTTCAGTATTTTTCTCCAATTTATGTCTCGACAATGAGATACTTATCTAACTATCTGTCTCTAACTTTTTATGCTTTTGCGTTGTTTTCTACATTAATGTGTTCCAGTACAAAGATAACCAGGTTTTATCTGTTTTTTAACTAGTTTAATTTATATTGTAACGAATACTTAATTTGTTTGATCATTTATTTCTTAAATATTTATTGCTCTAATTTAATGACATATAACTTAAATTCTAAATTAATTTTCATAGGTACAGTTTCATCATTCGGTAGAATCTAAATTAGCATCAGCCTCTGTGGATGGATTGGTTAATTTTTTTGATTTAGATGAAATTACGGAAGAAGATGCCATGAACAATACCCTTAATGTTGAATCTTCTGTAGTAAGTTATTCAAGTTTTTATGATAGTTCTAATATGCATGATTTTAGTTGATGTTTAACAGTTGTAATCAAATGCAACAAAGTGGCCACTCAGAGATTTTGTCTGTTTTCACAATAACTTTCCACTGAGCAAAGTTATTACTATATATATCTATAGATTGATACGACTAATTAAGCTTAGTAAGTGGCAGTGTTCTAAGAGAAACCCCATAATAAAGGTGATCCACAAGTAATTTTAAAAAAGGAAGAAATCTTTTCTGTATATCTGTTGGAATTGTTAAGTGCGTAGTGGAAAACGCAAAGCAAGCATAATAAAACACTCATCTTTAAACTTACAAAGAACTTTTACTAAGCAAGAAAAAAAAGTAGACTTAACTTAAACATCATATAACTTAAGACATAGTAACCAAGACATAGCAACAAACATAATCCAAGAGAGTATTTTACTCTCCACGACATAAAACAGCCATTGTCATTCCATACATTAATATCTATATTGATATATCTAATTTGAATCTGCCTTATACAAGCATATATTTAACATCCAATCAAAAAATATTTGCATAATGAGGGTGAAAGAAAATGTAATACTACACTTACATTTAATGTTTAAATTTATTTTTAAATGTTCGCGATAAACTAAACAAATAAAAAAATCCAGAAAAGAAAAAAAAGCACCTTTTTTTTCAGAGTTTAAAAACTTAAACTTCCCCTTCTGAATCAATTTAATCTTTTTCCCCCTTTATGTGGTTTTTCAAACTTAAGAATTTTGACTCCCCTTTCTCTTTGCTCAAACCTTATTCATTGAAATTCTTAGTCTGACAATATCTATTGTTCGTGCCGTCAATTAGGGCACCGCTCACACTGCCAGTTGGAGAAGTGGGGGCAGTGAGTTCGATTCTGGCAGATAACAAAACAACTGGCATGTTTACATAGCAACGTGCATGTTAAATGAATCATAGTCATAGTTGAAAGTCCTCTCATTGGTTGTAGAGAGGGGTTCCAGCTCCAACACCCTCTACATTGCCCAATTAGGTTCAAAATTACAAGTAATTACTCAACGATACAGTTATAGCTGTAAAATAATTTTCATAAATTTGGATGAATACACAAACTTTATAAATACCTGGGTGTTTATAATTTTTTTTTTTTTTTTTTTTTTTTTTTTTTTTTTTTTTTTTTTTTTTTTTNTTTTTTTTTTGAAAATTGAATGTCTATGCTTTTTTTTTCTTTTTCTTTTTTTACGTTTTCTTTTCATTGTCTACAATTAATTATTTATTTACTAAGAAGAAAAATGTATTCAATTGAACTTGTAAATTATTTAAATCACAGTTTTTCAATTTTCTTTACTTGAGAGTGTTTGTGGTTTAATTTTCTTTAAATTCACCTTTCTTTTAATAATTCACAATATTTGTGATTTTAAAATTAACTTCTGTATTCGGAAAGTTTTACCAGAATATATTTTTAAAATGCAAAATTTTATTCGAGTTTTAAATAATTCCTTTTAGAAACTTTATCATACAAAACTTTTCCTCAATGTGAATAATATGTAATTCCTCATATTTAGTTGTGATATCTTCCTGAATAATAGTGCCCAATGTGTTAGCAATTTAAATTGAATATAAATATTTTGATTTGTGTCTTTTAAAATATAAAATAGAGCTTAATATTCAAATTATTTTTGAAAGAATTACAAAATAAACTAATGTTTCAATATTTTTGCATGTAAAATTTAAATGGGATTGAGGAGCTTAAATCTACAAGAGAGAATAAAAAAACTTTTTTTTCTATTATTTTAAATTGCATGTTTAACTTATTAAATAACTTAATCAAGGATTTACATATTTATTATCTTAGGCATCATAACTTATGTAAATAATAGTAATATTTAAATAAAATTTTTGTTACTTAAATACATATCATTTGTAGTTTTTTAATTAAAAAAAAGATATGTTTTTTGTAAATTAAATGCTACAAACCAAAGTCTGATTAGGACTAAATAGTAAATGAAAATGTATATAACAAAACATGCAAATAAATTATCTGAACAAAATTTTATTTGCATCAAACATCTTTTATTCCTAACTATTATGACTATAAAATAATGCCTGATAGATTTTACATAATAAAATATTAAAAAAAAATTTTTGCATCAAATATCTTTTATTCCTAACTATTATAACTATAAAAAGATACTTAACTTATCTGCTTTAATTTTTTACATAACCAATCATTAGATTAATAAAATTTTATTTATTAAACTTTAATACATAAACAGTTAAGGCAAATATTTGCAGTTTCTTGTTTAACTTTTGTAATAACAATATCTCTATAAACTTAAGAGATGTTTCATATTGCCCATTACAAGGGATTTTTAATTAAAATTTAATGCTGTAAATTGAATTAAAAGCTTGGAACAATTAAGGTTAAATTGATCACATTAACATTTTAATTATGACAAGAATATGATTATATATATAAAAAAAAAACATAACATAAAGCAATATTTTTAGTTGCCCTGTATTTCTGTAAAAAAAAAATCCTATATATTTTTTTTTAATTGTTAATTATATTCCTGTACATGTTTTATTGGTTTTTAAATAATAAAAACTTGTATAGCTTTTTAAAAAATGTTAGATATTTTTATTTGTTTCTGTTGTTGTTTGTGTCCAGTAGCAGTTGGAAGGGGTTTGCGCATGATTTTGAAAATTTAACTAAAGCAGATTATCTCACTTGATCAAGCTTGAATTTATTTTGTTGTTTTTTAAAATTGATTTTGTGTAAAATAAACATGTTTTTTATTTATTTATAATCCAAGTTGACAACTTCTGTTCATTTACACAATTTATACCTTTAATTACCTTTCGATATTACCTTTAATTAAGTGCATATTTAACTGGCATGATTTTAAATATAGCACATTAAGAGTTATTTTTTCAAGTATTATCAAAAGCAATATTGAAAAAATTAAGTAAATGACTCTTTGTCAACATTATATTAATAATTGATTAGGCGAAAGAGTTTTTTCACTGCAGCATCTGCATCTTTATGTAATCACTGCTAATATTGAAATTTTAAATTGTAATTAATTCTAATTTATGTTTAATTACCTTCTAGTTTTTAGTAGGTCCAAATAGCAAATTTCTGTGGCTACTTTTTTTGACTATGTCCTTACAAATAAAACGATCTAACATCATGAGACTTCTTATTTTCAAACTCATGTTGTAAACAATCCCATGTTACTTAAACAGCAGATTATTATAAGAATAAATAGTAATGCTGCATCTTTAATTCACCCTAAAATCAACACTTTGTTTCACTTACCTGAAACCAGATATATTAAGAAAAAAGGGGGAAGGGTGTAAAAAATAGTAGTCCCTCATTTTAAAAAGACAGATAACCCTTACAGCATCCTTGGAAATAATTTTGCTTGGTTCCAGCAAAATCGCAAAATTCCATTTAGCAAAAATCTTTACACTAAGCAATCTATTTATTTTTTTACATGACGTTATTATTTACTATTATTACTATTTGATATTACTGTGTAACTAAGGTACTTGGCCTTTGTGATGTTTGATATTTTTTTATTTTCAATTATATTTTATTATATTTAATAAATTCAATGCATAACTTTGTAATACAAAAATTCTATCAACTTTATAAATTATTTAAATATTAACAATTAATGATGTAGCTAAAAAAATATTTATTGCATAAAATTCTAAATACATGCAAATACTGCTTGTTAATTATTTGTAAGAATCTATTTTAAAATATTATTGCAAGCAAATGCATCACCTTCCCCTCCAGTTAATTATTTAAATGATACTCTAACTATAAGTTGCATTTTTCTGTCTAACTTTTTTTAGGTCATTCTCTAATTAATTGCATCAACTAGAAATATTGAAATGAAAATTGTTTTTTTTTTTTTTTTTTTTTTTTTTTTAAATAAAGCCCTGAACAAAATGAATGTTTACATTCATATAACAATATACCCAATTGTGATTTACTTAATTTAAAATAGTTATGCCTTAAATAAATTTCCTTGATTCGTAATTTTTAAGAGTTTAAGTCACAATGATTATAATATTGCCATTGGAGTTGTAAATTGCTTTGTTTGGTAAAAAGATAAAATCTAGTTGTGTGAAGTAGGATTGTTTCAAAATTTATATTAGTTATAGTATGATTGCGCCAATTTTGAGATAATTTCGTTTTTACAGTGTTTTGTTTTTATTGTTTTGCTCTGGATAACATTTGTAAGTGACTATTATTCATTTTTAAAACAGAACAAGTTTTCTTGGGGAGTCACTAATGCATTGTCTTGTATAACCAGTACAGAAGAATTTCAATATTGGTCAACTAATGAAGTTTGTTTCACTGTTTCTTTCTTATTTTCTTTGTTAATTTATGATTACTATTTAAGAATATTATTTTATATGAGATAAGATTATATTTTTTAGCAAATTCAAAATTATATTAAATATTTTTTCAATTAGAATTTTTACAATATTGATTTTTCATGTGTGTAATTTTGAATAACATCTAAGCATTTAATCAATCTATAAGGCAATTTCTTCAAAGCAAATAAAAGCCTAAGGACGATATTTCATTAATTTCTTTTTAAATATTAGGAAAAAATGCTGATGTAAAATATCTTCAACAGCAGAGGGATCATGGGTTAGAGTCCATTTGCCATGAGACTAACCGTGGGAGGTTTTCAGGGTTTTCCTCTCCATGTAGTGCAAATGAGAGTTAGTTCTGTTAAAAAATTCCTTCACAAGGCACATTTCTCCTAGTACTTGATCCAGGAGGTCCCTTGTCTTCTGCATTGGGTTCAAAATTACATGGCTACAGAGTTGAACATTGGTAGTTGTAAACCCAAATTTGGGTCAACCGTTCAACTACGGTTATAAAATAAAATTAAATGTATCCATTATTTTCAAGCTGTACACTTCTGTCTTCCTCTGTGCCTAGATTCATAAAACTATTTTAAAAAATTTCGGCCTCATGTTTTACTGACAGCAAGAATTTTAATTAATTTATCAGTTTTACTTTCCATGTACTGAATTAATTTTATCGTACTTCATGCAGCGAGAGCGAGCTGTAAATTAAATTTTATAAGTTTATCATGAAGTAGAGTAGAAATTTGACACAAAATGTTACTATCGCTCAGAGAGACATGCAAATTTGTCTTTTCTAAACCCATTTTGAAGTCATATCACAAAGCGATCTGAAAAGCGCTTTGTAAGCTGTTCCGAGGGTTGGTGAGCTATCGTGAACAGGAGATGTATCTCCTTAGTAGAAATAAATGAAATAATTTTGACAAATGCGTATGCAAATGAAATAAAGATTACCCACTGAGGAAAAGGAGAGGGCTATATCCAAGTAATACACTCAAATCTTTTATATCTTAATCTTTCGACAGCATTGGTCTTTTTTTTTCGAGGGGGGGGAGTAGAACATTTTATGCGTTTAATATTTGCTTAATAAAAATCTTCTTAAACGCTTTCAAAGACCTCAAAAAATTAGAAAAAGTCTTGAAAGTCAAGTATGCTGATATAAATAATAATTTAGGAATCAGTGCCTTTCAAAGTTGTTTTGAGGTCAAAATGACTGCTCTGGTAGTTCTATATAGTGTTAATTAAGATTTAAAATATACTAACTTATTACTAAAGTATATTAACTATTTTAAAATTTTTTAATGTTTGTCTATTTCAGGTTAAACCGGCTGTATCTATAAACAAAAAGCAAATGTCTGAAGATTTTATGGTATTAAATTTTTATTACAATTATAAAGATTGTCAATGATTAGAAAATTTTTATTTAAGGGAAATCAATGTTTTATTCTATGTAAAAACGGGTGTAGTTTTTCTGAGAAACAACTAAAAATAGCATCACTTCATATAATTGTAAGAAGGTTAAACCTCTTCTTGAATGCAATTTTTTCTGTAATATGTTATTCAAAAACTCGACAATATATGTCTTTAATAGTTACCAACATTTATGTAAAAGTGAAAAGGTTAAACTTTTTAATGTTATTTCATATGTAATATGTTGTTAAAAAATTTGATCATATTTAAATCTAATATTTGAAAAATTAAACCTCATTTTCAAAAATTTTCTGGTCATATTGTACTTAACTAAAACAAAAAAAAAAATTATGGATTTACATTTTTGATTGCATATCGATGTGCACGGCCTATGATTAGTTTGTCGTCGTCTTGGAATTATTTTGTGTGGCAATAATGACTATATGTTTGAACTTAGTCAACAGAAAATGTATTACAATCATAACTAAATTTGAACTTGAAAAACTTTTTGTCAATTGAGTCCATGAAATTTATTCATTATTTTTTTTAATTTACGAAATAGTAATATTAATTGTGGTTTCTACACATATTATATACTAACAATGCCAACCAGTGTAAATATATAATATTAAATTAAATAATTTAAAATATTTTCAAAGCATTTTACTTGAAAGTATATTTTATTCCAACATGAAGAAAAGTCTTATTCGAAAATGTTTTCGTGTTTTTAATTGCAAACAAACATTACTTATAATTTGCATTTAAATGTTTTATTGCTCAAAATAGTATTTTTGGACAGTTCTTTGAATATCGTCCAAAAACTGTTTTAATTCATTACCATTTCTTATTTACATGACTTCTAATGAATTAAATTGATTTGAATGAACTGTCAATTTTCATTTTGAGGAGAAACTGTTTAATTACCTAAATATTGCTTAATTATTTTTCTCTTTTGCTTTTAAAGGAAAACAAAGTAAAAAAGAATAAAAATATATAAACTAAAAAAAAAAAATTATACATTTTGTATAAAAAATAGATGAGTTAATTTTGAGCTTTTTTAAATTTGAATTTAATTTCTTTTGCTCATTGATTCTAAACTGAGACAGCATTTTTTCCCCCAAATCTTTTTCTTACTATGTTCTGTCATAATCACACTACTGTTATAAATACTTGATAAAAGTTCTCTTGAATTACATTAAAAAAACTTATCCCTCTTCTTTTATTTGCAGTGTGATGTGGATTACTTAATAGACACATTTGATGTAAATAACTCAATTTATCTGGTGTCTGGAACAAATGAGTAAGAACAGCTATGTTATTTAATGACCTAAAGTTTTATTTATTTTCTTTATTAACTTCATTAAAGTTTTTTTTTTATTATTCACTCAATCTGATTTCTTCAAATTAATAAAAGTACATTTGTACAAAAGTTTTTATTTATTTTTTTAATTATTTTGTCAAAGTTTTTATTCATTTTTAATAACTTTATCTATCTGGCTTTTGGAACAAAGAACTAACAGTTGTGTTATTTAATTATTCAAGTTTTTATTTATTCAGCATTATGGCTTATGAGATTAATGAGTATGAATAGTTACATAAGTCCTAAAGTTTCTATTTTTTTAATTACTTCAGTTGTGTTTAATTGGCACATTTATAACATGTAACCTCCTCTATCTCTCTTTGGAATTCTAGCTATAATCTTATGATTCTAAATTACAATAATTGTGTTCCGATAAATTTAATGAAATAAAGAATTTTCCAAAATATTAATTCTTTTATTAATAAGGAAATTGTGTTCGTATATACTGTTTGTAGGTTAACAATAAGAGTCCTTAAGTGTCTTTCCAGATGTGTCTTTAGAAGCAAGGGTCGAAATAAATATGATATCAACAGTTAACTCGTAGCTTATTAAGTCCTTCTATTCTCCTAGTTTGAAGAGTATCACAGCCCAAAAAGTTTAAAGCATATTTAATTTTGTGTATTGAAAATTTATTTCTAAAATTTAAAAGGGTTGGAGTTGTTTATATATATTTTTTTAAAAAATAAATCTATTTTTAAGCTTGTTAGTTTGTACACAGGTTGTCAGGCTACCAAGCAGGGAAGCCATCCCCTCCACAGACCCATAAGCAGAATATTTCGAAATGTTCTGCAAGCATTTCACTGAGAAAAAAATCAACTTTACGTTAAAATACTATATTTTCATTTATTGAAATACAGGATCATACACAGATATACTACATTATTTTTTAAACCAAAACAAAAACATTCTTGATTTGTTACTTTTTCAATCACTTCTGAAGTACAAAATTTTGTTGATGATGATGAATTATTAATAAAATACCTATGATATAAAGGTCCGAACATTAAAATAAGTGGTCAAAGCTAAAGAGTATTTTATTCAAGATATAAATTGTTCTGCAGGACTTTGTTTGTTCTGTGACGTACGTCGCAGTTTTAGGCACTTTCTGCTTCTGGGTCCACAGAGGTGTAAAATTGTGAATGCATGGTTTCAGATCATCCTCAGGCATGTTTCCCAGATTGTCACCTCAAGTACGACGTAAAAATTAAATATGTCTACTAATGTTTGTTAGGGGTCCGTCCAGGTCAAATTTACTACCATTTAGGGGTACCTTCACACATTCAACTTTATGGAAAATGATAGTTTCACAAAATACTTTTTCTTTAAAAAAAATTTTGTATCCTGTAAGAAATGATAAATCCATATTTTTGTGTTAATTTTTAATATAATTTTTAATTTTCACAAATTATATCTGAATTTTCACAAAATAAGTACCTGTCAGAAAAATCTAGACAGACCCCTGTTTGTGTAAAAGGGCTGTCTAATTATTACACCAGTACCTAAAGGGGAAGGAATTTGTGATTTGCTTATTTTTGTTGGCAAAAAGCAAGGGGTGCTATGAGCAATGCTTATGTAAGGCATTAAAATCTTTTAACTCTCAAAATTTTCAAAAAAAAAAAGAAAAAACAAAGATAAAAATGTAGCAAAAAATGATAACACATTGATAAATGCTAAATTTAAGTTAGTCAAAAAAATTTCTTCAAAAAATATCAGAGGTCAACAGTTTTGAACACAAAAGAAAAAAAACAAATCTTAAAAATGAAATTAATTAAAAATATAAATTTTATTTTATGCTAAGTTACACCTTATATTTGAACAATTTAAATAAAAAAGTGAGAATTTAAATAAAATAAATCTATTAATAATAAATGAATTTTTGTACTTTAATTTAAATTCTCACTTTTTTATTTGAATTGTTTACTTAAGTGGACGCCATACTGCAGGAGAAACTTTTCGTCGCAAATTCTCTTATTCCTCCATTATTAATTTAAAATATAAAAGAAAGAAAACATTAGTTCAGGCAAACCTAGAGTAGGCCGTAAAATTTCAGTTGCTTGAAGGAAGAAAAAAAATCAACATGAAAACAAATTATTGGAAAAGAACTTATCCATTGCGTAATCCTAAGTTAATGTCTTATATTTTATTTTTATATTTCAAAAATTTCTTTTCAGTAATTGAAATTTCATTGCTTACTCTGCACTCACTTTTCCTATACTTTAAATTAGCCATGGAGGCAAAAGAGAAATTACAACAAAAAATTTCTCACGTGGTATGGTGTCCTCTTAAGACAATTTTAATTTTAGTTGCTTAAAACGCTTTTCCGTTTGAACATATTTTACTTAAATTGTGGTCTTCATTTTTGTTTAATTGAAATTTTATAATTACATTAATCTTATATTTGAATTAATTCTAAAATTAGAATACTACAGCAAAACTCAAAAGCAAAAACCTATCGGAATGTTTTGACTTCCATGCGTAAGAATGGGGGCTTGTGATTCTCTTATTTTTGCTGATATGAGGAAAATGGGAGCCTGAAATTGCCTAAAATATGCTTACATAATATTGGAACAGCCCTAAAAAATGCAAGTTTAGCCCAATATAATTTTCTTAAGGAATAAATATTTATTATTGAATAATTATATTTGTTGGGCTGTTTATTTATTGTAGGAATGTGCAATTCTGTTAAGTTTTTGTATTGGGATACCTGGTCCAATGAAATTTGCATTTGACCGTTTAACTATTTTAACAAATGTATTTTTCTGTTTATCTGTTTAATAGCTTTTAATATAAGGTTTTTTTTCTCTTCATAATTTTTCTAAAATATTGATAAATATGTTTTATACATTTTCAGGGGATCTGCACAATTATATTCTTGCAATAAAAATGGGTTGAAAATTATGTGCGAGTTAAGAGATGGTCATAAAGATATTATCCGAACAGTTTGTCATAGCAAAAAGGTAATTTCATTTAAGCATTTGTTAATTTTGGAAGTATATGCTTACAATCTAAAACCTAATCTAGTGTTCTTTCCCCCTCTTCTCGTGTTTCTTTCCATATTCTTCATTATTTTATTTTTATGTCAGCACCATTTAATTGTGTTATCACGAGTTTGTATTATCATAACATTATTTAAGTTGAATATGGTATTTCTTAACTGTCAGTTATTCTTGTGTCATTAAGCCAACAAACTATCCAAGGCATTATTAAAATCAGATAACAATTCTGTTATTCTCTGTTTGACTTTTATATATATATAACCCGCCATCCCAAGGTGTCTTCATTGTTTTTAAACCTTTTGTGTCAGATTTAGTTTATATCAGTTTTCAATCATCTCATTTACAGTAAGTTGTATTATTTATGTTTTGTGCAGTGTAACCATTTCAAACTATTGTATACTTTGTCTACTCCCCCCGCCACTGAGTCTGAGGCCGTCTGCTGCTATGGAAACAAGAATGAAGCATTTCAGGGAGAGTAGCTTCTCTTCACCCTAAGGCTGACGCAGTAAACCAAAGAAAAAGATTACCTTTCTCTCACTGACCAAAACCTGTCCTAATCAATGACCCCACACTCTTACTTGAAATAGTTTTACCTTGTTTCCATAGTCATCACCACGGATCCAGACAAATGGCTAGATTTCTTATTTTAGACAAACTATGCTATTAAGTGCTAAATTTCACTTATTCTCTATTTTTTTTTAAAAAAAAAAGGATGTAAAGTGGATGGTACATACAAATCATAGAGATTAGTACATAATTATCACTAGACAGGGTTTGAATTAAAATCTGGAAAACCTAAAAATGTCAATAAATCAGATTTTAGCAAAAAATAAATAATTAGTAATGAGTAAATAAATATTAATAAATAAATAAATCCAATTTTTTCTTTAATCTGAGAAATTAATAACCAGAAAAAAGACTGATCTTAGAAATAGTCATAGCAATAAGCAGTGAGTAAGACTCATATACTCAATATGTTGGAACCTGTAACAATCATTTTATGTGAAATTAAAATATATATTCATACAGAAAAATTTTTGAATGATTTTTTTACCTTAACTATTGTGCTATTGTAGTTTAGAATTTAAGAAAAAATGAAGATTAATTTTGAAAGATTATTTTTTTCCAATATAATCTAGAAAAATGGAAATATACACATATTCTTGAATTTTCGAATTGCTAAAAAAAAATAAGGAATTTTTTGAACATTTTGAATATTATGGGTTTTAACTGGTTTGTCTTTTCATATTTTAATTCATCTATGTAAGTTGCCATAAAGTTGAACTTATAATGAATGCTCTCTAAGACTAATATGGGTTATTAAAATATTTTTTACATCTTTTTTAGGATAGTTTTCTAGTTACTGGAGGTGAGGATGGAATCCTTTGTATATGGAAGAGTCCAATAAAGTGAAAATAATTTTTTATTTCATTTATACAATTGTAACAGATATATCGTAATAAAATTGTTTTTTTCTTTTAAATAAAATTGGTGTTTGTGAATAACCTATTTCAATCCAGAATATATGGGCAGATCTCTAAAACCTTTAACTTTAGATAATAATAAAAAAATAATAGGCACACTATTTTTACACCTCCAGAATTGTTTGAAAATGTATAAAATATCAGAAAATAATTGTGAACATCGAAAATTTTGATGCCCTTATAAGTATAAACAAAAAATCAAATTTTTTGAACTAATTTTTCTAGGTTTATAATCACAAACTGTCATTCTGTGAGGTTACAGTTACGATGTCAAGACCATAATCTAAAAAGATCTAAACCGCAGATCTAAAAAGTAAATGTTAAAAAGTAAAGTCATTGCCTAATTTATTTTCTGTGTTGTGTGCATCGCATTGCGTTGCATCTGAGTAAAGTTTTCGATTTATTCTCTAGGTTGTCCAGACCATAACCCTGTCAACCTCAGGATTAATTGATTGAATTTAACATATCAGAGCTTAGTTTTTTCCCTATGTTTTACTAATTGAAGATAGTTTTTGACTGAAAATAATTAAAGTAAGCCTTTTTATACATTTTATAACAATTTAACTTAATATTAAAATTTTTCAATTCATTTATGATGCTAATAATTTTTCATAAAAAATAAAGGGTAAATATGGATGAAATTATTAAAAATAAAAATTGCTCAATAAAAGAAAATTAGGTTCAATAAGTTTATATGTTTATTAAATAAATGATACTTTTATTGTTTTTAGGATTTTTAATGAAATGTATATAAACCTAGAAAAATTAGTTCAAAAATTTTAATTTTTTGTTTATATATTTTGTTTATAAGGGCATCAAAATTTTCGATGTTCACGATTATGTTCTGATATTTTATACATTTTCAAACAATTCTGGAGGTGAAAAAATAGTGTGCCTATTATTATTTTTTTATTATCAAAAGTTAAAGGTTTTAGAGATCTGCCCATATGCTCATAGCTGCCAACTCTATCAGATTTTCCAGTAGACTACAGGATTTTTAAAGTTTCTTCTGGTCTACTGATTTAATTAAAGTTCTTCTGGTTTTTGTACATTTTAGAAAATTCCCTAAAATTGAGTAAGTTTCCTAAAAAAACTCCCTATTGAAATCGAATTTTTGTACAGATTATTGCTTGCTTGAGTATTTAAATAAATATTGCTAATACATAATGAAGCGATCCTCTTTTATAGAAATCCGTTCAAAACTTTTTCTTGTTATAAAATGCTCAGTTTGTTAAACTATTATAATGTTCCTTTTTATAATATATATTATAAATGTTCCTTTTAATATTCGAAATTATGGGAAAACATAATAAATAACGTTTCAAGTATGTTTAACGTCAATCATAACTGGAAAATATTGCCATTTTTCTATTTTAACGACTAAAAAAATCCCTAAAATTTCCTATGTGGGAAATATTTAGTGCATTATACAACAATTATCATGATATTTGTATTATTTCAAAAAATCTACTGGATTTTTTCCTATTCATGTTGGCAGCTATGTATACTACTTTATGTGTGAGCAGCTGACCTGGGATTTTGTAGAGTAAGCGAATACCCAGTAATAAGTAGATCCAGAGCTGCCAACTGCTATGCTTTTTAGAAAAATATTTTATAGAACATGCATATAACTTTGTTTTTTTATCAAAAGTTTTTTTGAATTTTTTAGTAACTTTGCCAACATTCAAAAGTTTCTCCAGGAGAGAGCTAGAAAAAAGTGATGTTTCCCATGCAGTCTACCACTTATGATATGCCTCAAAATAAAAAAAAATAAAAACCAGCTGGGGAACAATGAAATGGTAACTTTGAATAAAAAGCCTGATTTTAATGATGGTTAAACTGTAGAGGTATTCTTTGGGTTACTTTGAAATCATGCTTCGAATCACTATACGTTTTTAGCAAAAAGAAGAGATTTCCATAAATTTAATAGTCTTGCTTGTCGTGAAAAAACTATATTTTAGTTTAAAAATTATATCCTTGAATTTACTTTTAAATTCTATTATTTCATCTATGAATCTTGGGTCCCAAGAAAATTAGTTTTAATATGGAAATTAATAAAGATGGTAATTGGGATAGATGAGCAGAGGATGGAACCTCATGTACTAAATAAAAAATGCTTAATAAGAAACAATACTTCTACTGTTTTTCTTTTGTCTTCTTTTTTAAAGAAAAAAAGATAAATTTTCTATTTAAAATAAGATTGTTTAACTTTAGAATGATTTTAAAGAGAGCTACACCATGATCAATTTTTAAATTACATAACAAGTAAACAAATGGAAATATGGCATACCGACGTACAATAAATGATTTTGCAACTTTAAAACACTGTTTTAACAAAGCCGCACTTTTAAAGAAAGCTTTTAGATCATTTTTTTTTACACAGTAAAAACTTGATGTAATGAGTTCTGCATATAATGTGAAGTCCATTATCATGAACAGTTTCCAAGTTACCCTCATAATGCCAAATATGACAGTAATATCGATTAATGATGCAAAAATAGTATGTTTATGACAATTTAAAAGTGCTAGCTTCTTACTTTTGTGATGATTCCTTGAGGGCTGTGAATTTTTCTGCTATTTAAGTGAACAATATTAGACCAAAAAGAGTAAAATGGAAGAGTAAAAAAAAGCATCACTTTACCGTATGGTAAAATGATGTTGAATGTATATTGTGAATGGGGTAGGAATTATGTACCATAAATGAACTGTGTACTTCTTGAAATCTTATCAATTATTTTTCAGAGAAAAATGCAAGCATTATCTCATTTTCATTACAAGTTTAGCGTTGATTACAGTAATCGATTTCAAATGTAATTAATTATAGTTGATTGCCCAGTAATCAACTATGTGTAATGATCATGATTACAAGTAACCAAAGTAAGAAATAATTATTATTTATCGTTACAAGTGCTTATAATTATTTATAATCACAATAAAAAGTGATTACAGATAATCAGAATTACAAATAATCAAGCCCTCGGAATTGCAAGTCATCATGACTACTTGTAATCATAAAGTGAGATTACGAGAAATCATAACTATAAGTTATAATCTAACAATTACAGATAATCTTATATTCAAATAAGTGTGATATATATATGAATACAACACGATATAGATGTAATCATAATTTCAAGTGGGCTTGATTACATTGTAATAGGGATAATAGGTAATAGTATATTTTTAAAACAATGCATAAATTGTAAATGTAAATCCATTGTTTAGATTACTAAATGAATTGTTTGGTTTATTAAATGAAAGCTTTTAAACATTGAATTATATACGAAAATACGTACATAAATGCACAAATAAGATTATATTGTATTACTTGTAATCATAATAAGAAACGATTACAAGTGATTATGATTGAGTAGTCAAATATATGATTACATGCAATCGTGATTGCAAGTAATTGCGAGTTCGTGTAATTAAAATATACGATTACAAGTAATTACAACTGCACACAATATGCTTATTCAGTTTATATATATGTACAGTTAGTATATTTTTATGTACGTAGAATAAACGTACGTATATAAATACAATTTATTAATGTACATGCAATGCATGTAAGTTGGTATGTATGTAGATGTATATACGTATAAGTAACATACGTACAATTACTCATACATATGCCAGCAATGTGGTCAGTGCAAGGTGAATGCGGAATTCATATCGACCAGCCATCGCTGGGATTCGAACCTGGTTCACCTCGTTGGAAGGCTCACGCTCTACCCCCTGAGATATCACAGCTCAATTTATGAATATTTTATTTTATTTTATAACCGTCGTTGAACAGCCGACCCAATTTTATGGGTTTACGACTACTAATGTTCAACTCCGTAGCCTTCTAATTTTGAACGCCATCCAGAAGACAAGGGAACTCCTGGATCGAGTATTAGGAGAAATTTGCCTTCATGGAGGACTTTTTGATGGAGATTGTCAGGGTCACGTGATGTAATAACACGCATTTTCTGATGTTGCGAGCTAAAAGCTTGATATTATAGATATGATCATTTTTTTTCTTGTTTTGGTTTTTTGGAACAATGGATGAAAAAGAATAATAAAATGGTGAATTAGTTTTGTAGAATTTTGCGTTATTTCTTTTGTAAAAGGTTACGACTGACAGAGATAACCCGCATTTGCATTACATGGAGAGGAAAACCGCGAGAACCTCCCACGGTTAGCTTGAGGGCAAGGAGACTCTAACCCATGATCCGTCTACCACTGAGGATATTTCACGTCAGCACTGTGGTCTGTGCAAGCCGGATGCAGAATTCGTATCGACTGGGATTCGAACCCGGTTCGCCTCGTTGGAAGGCGAACGCTCTATCCCCATGAGATATCACAGCTCAATTTATGAATATGAATTTTTTTTTCGCGATGCTTCCTCTTGTAGTTGTATAATTTGGAATATGTGAAGAAAAAACCGAAATCCAGGAAAGGAAATAGCGTCGGTCAAGCCTTAAAATCTTTTTCCCCAAAGTAACTCTTGAAGTTACTTTTGCATGATACGGCTGAGTTCAATTTCTGCCTACAATACAGCTCGTCCAACATCATCTACTGGAGAAGAAAAATTAGGAACTATATATTTTAAAGTTATTTAATAATTTCAAATTAAAAGAAAGACAAACCAACATCACTTCTGCTTCATTGTTTTTATTGAAACTCACATGTGATCTTAGATCACCACATGCTAATATCAGACAAAACAATATTAATAATGTAGATATCGCATCACACCCATTGAAGATATGCACTGTCACATTTACACTTAATGTAATGTGACAATTTTATTTCTAATTTTACCTAAGCCTTTAATTTTTCTTTAAACGTTATTCCTTTTTTTCAATTTAGCAATTTACTTTCTTGGTGACCTTTCTCATGGTCAATGCGGTCATCGCACTTCCTGTGGGGAAAGTCATCCAACCCCTCTATTCACGCCTTTCTTCTTTTAATTTTAGGGGGGCTAACTAACCAATCTCTTTCCTTTAAATTTCAAACTCTTCGCCTCTTTAAATTTAATTGGCCGTTATTTTTCTGGTCCTATTCCTGTGAAGGAATTTTTTTTAAGTATTTTTGAATACATTCTCTCTCTCGAGCCTTCGGGCAGGTTACCTTTTTTCTCCGAGATGCGGCCATCGGTCCGTATCAAGGGAATTTATGTTTTACATCTTTTTCTCAGCCAGCCTATAATTTAAATTAAATCTGTGAAATTAACTTCTGTAATTTTAATAGCTTCATTTTTACCCTTAGTTTTTTTTTATATTGAAGACCCTCTCGAATTTAAGCTTTCTAGCTATGAATATCTTTTCTATAGTTAAATGTCTCGTTTTATTTATTTTAATCTTATGCATGACACCTCCTATTTCTTTATTCTCTTGTCATCCATTTCTATTAAATGGCATTCCTAATGTTAATTGTGTTATCCAATTTTCCACTAAATATATTGTGAGTTGTTTTGAAATAAATGTTCACGTTCGTTAAAATTTATGTGTTCATCTCTTCATTTGCTGTTCTCGTCAAATTCTACTATATGTGATGGGTGAGTTTGTAATTCTGTTTTGGGCATGATTTCTTTTTTTATATTGGAAACATCAGCTTATTCCATTTATCTTAAGTGTTAAATTGTATCTGGATATAGCATGACTTTATCGTTTAATATCTTAAATTTATATTAGTTTCGCCCTTGTTACAAATTTGGTGATACCAAATCATCCAATTTGTTCAAACCTCACACTTTGTGACCCTTTGAACCTATTGGGTTATTGTTATCCCACAATTGCATAGTACAACCACTTTCTTTAACGATCACATTCCCCTTTATTTAATTTATTTACCCTTTTATATATTTCGGCCTTAATTTGTTTTATTATGACATGTCAATCATTTACCTATTTTTAATCATGACTATATCCAGAGATACATCCAATTATGCAACCCATCCATTTTAATAATAATACATAAATAACTTTACTTTATNTTGCTGTTCTCGTCAAATTCTACTGCATGTGGTGGGTGAGTTTGTAATTCTGTTTTGGGCATGATTTCTTTTTTTATATTGGAAACATCAGCTTATTCCATTTATCTTAAATGTTAAATTGTATCTGGATATAGCATGACTTTATCGTTTTATCTTTAATATCTTAAATTTATTTTAGTTTCGCCCTTGTTCCAAATTTGGTGATACCAAATCATCCAATTTGTTCAAACCTCACACTTTGTGACCCTTTGAACCTATTGGGTTATTGTTATCCCACAATTGCATTACACAACCACTTTCTTTAACGATCACATTCCCCTTAATTTAATTTATTTACCTTTTTATATACTTCGGCCTTTATTTGTTTTATCACGACATTTCAATCATTTACCTATTTTTAATCATGACTATATTCAGAGATACATCCAATTATGCAACCCATCCATTTTAATAATAATACATAAATAACTTTACTTTATTCGCACCAAATATTTTTTTTATTAAACTCTTACATGCACTAATCTATGTCTTTTCTTGAACAACTTGCACCGTTGTAAATCTCGTGACCGTCTTTATTTCTTGTCTGGGTAAGTTTGCAGTAATAATTAGCCTGAAAAAGATAATTATAATTATTTCAAGAGGTATTTCATTCAATTATTAGTTGGAAAGTAATGTCTTTCCACTCATTTCGATATTCATTGGTTATTAATAAGTTCATTGTATACTTAAAATTTTTTTTAAAAGATTTGTCCAACACTTATTTACTCGAAAACAATTATTAAATATTGAATTTTTTTTCTTTTTTTCGAAATTCATGATGAAATACTCGTAGTACTAGAAATACCAATAATACAATAGTACCAAGTACTAGAAATGGATAACGTCCGGCATTGTACGCTTATTGAGTATCACAAGAGTAGTAGCGGAGCTATTGTCACCAAAAACATTTAAGATGAATATCCTCGTGCCTTTCGTATGTACATATAATTTAAAGAATATTGAGAAAACATGGAAGAAAATAATATTACAAGAATTAATGAAAAGAGAAGAAGAAAAATTATTAAAATAAAATATTTAAAAAAAAATTATTTAAAAGCCGAAAAAAAAATTTCCGGCTCTTTATTATTTAAGTAAATTTTTTTTTTAATATTTGCAAAAATATTCAAAAACATTTTATTTATAAAAAATTATTTAAAAGCCAAAATTTTTTTTGGAAAATTTAAAAAAAAGCAATTTTTTTTAAATATTTGTAAAAATATTTTATATTTATAATTTTTCCTCTTCTTTTTCATTAATCTTTATTATTTTCCATGTTTTCTCTATATTTTTAACTTATTTTTTAATTTCTATATACTTGCAGTAAATAAAGCTTATTTTCTTCGATTTTCTCTTTTTTCTTTTTATCCTTTTTTTTTTAACTTACAATATCTATAACTAGGTGTGTGTGTGTGTGTAATTGAAATAGTAATAAAAAATGTTTTTGATTAAAATAGAAGAAAATAGTCTAACTTATTGATTTAAAATCTAAAATTTTAAAAAAGAAAAAAAGAAATTGTTAAATGATTTTCAAAAATATAGCTATCATGAACAATTAATTCATTTTGCATGAATTACAATGCAACTTAAAATTCAATGCATTTTACACATAAATTACTTCTAATGTGCGCAAAAAAGAAAGTAACGGAATGACTTTTAAGTTATCGTTCTTAATATTTTTTGGCCTAATGATTGTATTTTTACGTACTCAGATGCAATCTCAATGATTCGTGAAGCAAAAATGCTAATCAATTACTGTAAGACATATATTTCAAGCTAGCTGTGAAATCAGACAAAACGTAAATACGGGTTTTTATATAACAAAAGGGCTTTTTTTTTTTTTTGCTGCNTTTTTTTTTTTTTTTTTTTTTTTTTTGCTGCATGAACGTTTTTTGAAATAGAAATTTTAACTCTCGACGTTGCAGGAGCTACAACAAACTGAGTGTTATGGTCCCTACAGTTTAGATAGGAGAGCAATTGAAAGTTAAACCTCCTTAACGTTAATTTCTTTTTAGTTTAACTGTAGAGCTATTTAAACATATCGAAACATTTTGCACAAAATGATACAGTGTTTCCGTGTAAACTATACAGTAATTCCGGGTAAGATATATTTTTTAAATGTTTTTTTTTAAAATTTCTTAATACATAATGGTCAAATATTTTGAGAAATTTAAGACATAAGGAGGTTTTGTTTTTAGTACCATTTTAACCGGTTAACTGGCTTCAAATTATGTTATTGTGGAAATTATATACTTGATAACATAAAATAATTTATTACATTAAAAAATTGCGCAAACTTGTAATAAGAAAGCGAAGTTTCAGTGTTGTGTTATATCCCTAAGAACAGCTACCTTGCATTTTATACTTAACTCAAATGTTAAAGACAATTAGTCTCCTAATTTTACCCATTTTGGATTAAATTAACTCGCATATTTTGTATACAAAATTTTTGATCCACCTTACACTATTATTTTTATTCCGAAAGATTTTTAAATAAGTTTCATAGTTTAATTAACAGGAAAAACTCACTAATTTACTTATATAATCGTTAAAACCATTCAGATTGCGTCGTATTCCTTCCATTTATTAAATCAAAAATAATTAATTGTAATGATTTTTCTTGCTTCACTCTGCATAAGTATTGTTACGTAACATTGCAATAATGATAGCTATTGAAGCAGTGAGAATGTAATTCCACGTAAAAAGAAAATTAAATGAAGAGCGACGTCAACCTACTCTTACGCTATCGCCGAAACAATAGACTAAGCTAGAGGATGACTTCATCTGCAGGCAGGACCTGACGGTGCTTATCTTAAAAATCCTGGATTCAAAATTATCATATGCATGGGATCTATACACGCATGATCTATATATATATACACTCGATAACAAAAAGATCGAAGCACCAAGAAGCAATCATCCGATTGCTTTGAAATTTCGTATGCATGAATGTTTTGAACAGATGTGGCTGGAATGATGCCGACTGGGGACGTATAGTCTTTAGCGACGAATCCCGCTTCCAACTGTGTCCTGACGATCATCGAAGACGTGTTTGGAGACGCACAGGGCAGAGGGGGGATCCTGCCTTCACTATTGCACGCCACACCGGCCCTCAACAAGGCATTATGGTCTGGGGTGCCATTTCCTTTGACAGCCGGACCCCTTTGGTCGTCATTAGAGGTACACTTACTGCACAGCGGTACGTCGACGACATCCTAAGACCTGTTTTGCTACCGTTCCTTTTGCAGCGCCCTGGGCTGGTTTTTCAGCAGGACAATGCCAGACCACATACGGCACGTGTTGCTATGAACTGTCTGCAAGCTTGTCAAACTCTTCCTTGGCCTGCCAGATCACCAGATCTCTCTCCCATCGAGCATGTCTGGGATATGATGGGAAGGCGATTGCATCTGGCACGGAATGTTGATGACCTCGTTCGACAATTGGATCGAATTTGGCAGGAAATACCGCAAGAGACCATCCGGGAGCTTTATCGGTCTATGCCACGCCGTGTGGCAGCTTGTATCCAGGCTAGAGGCGGGTCAACACCTTATTGAACTTGTTACTGTAACTCTGCAATAAATTATTCAATTGTTCTGAAATTTTAATCATTTACTATTCTGTACATTGTCTTCCTATCCACCAATTTTCGTTTCAATCGTACAACTCCTTCTTGGTGCGTCGATTTTTTTGTTATAGAGTGTATATATATCTTTAAGCTCCCTTATATTTTAGTCTATATCTTTAAAAGCGTAAGGTTGATGGGCCCTTTCACCTCATAAAGAACAGGGAGATGTTTAACGATCCAAGTTCTTGATTTCGAGAACTTGGAGGAATTTCTCTCTCCAAGAAATTGGATGATTCGTCGAATTCAGGTTCTTCACTATTCAAATTCTTTAATGTCACTAATTTGTTGGATGAGAAACCTGCGCTTTGCTCATATTCAACATTTTAAAAATCATAATAGCACAAATAGACCAGAACAGATTAATTTATTTGGATTGAAATATATGTAAACGGACAGCAAAATGACGTAATCTGGAGTCTGCTTGTTGACGTCACAAAACTTAAGGAGCTGATTGGTTAAGAGAGAAAAAACTTGGATGGAAAGTAGAACATGCTCTACTATCATCTCATCCAAGAACTTAAATGACCGTTTACACGATCCAAGCTCCAAGCAAAACAAGTTTCCATCAATTTCAATCAATCTTCTTTCAAGAACTTGGAATCGTATAAACAGGCCCTAAACCATTCTTGATAGTGTTAAGGCCTGTTTAGACGATCCAATTTCTTGGACAGAGATTGATTGATATTGATGGAAACTTGTTTTGCTTTGAGCTTGGATCGTGTAAACAAACATCCAAGAACTTGGTCCAACTTCTTGGACGATAGTAGAGCATGTTCTACTTTCCATCCAAGTTTTTTCTCCTTTAACCAATCAGCGTCTTAGGTTTTGTGACGTCAACAAGCTGGCAGCAAATTATGTCATTCTGTTGTGGGTTTTCATGTATTTTAGTCCAAATAAATTGATCTGTTGAGGTTTATTTGTGTTATTATGATTATATTTGAATTTATTTAGTAATTTTAAACTGATGTAAGTATTATTTTAATATGTTGAATATGAACAATGCGCATGGGCAAGTTTTTCTTTCAACGAATCAGCGACATTCAAGAACTTGGATAGTGTCAACGAATCATCCAATTTCTTGGACAGAGAAATCCGTCCAATTTCTCGGATTCAAGAAATTGGACCGTGTAAACAGGCCTTTAAGTATTATTATGACGTCACTCTTTGTTTACATTTTGGACTGAGTTGAGAATTTGATTTTTTTTTTCATGTTTTACTATAATTTTTTTCTCAAAAATTTTTGACGGTGTTCTATTTCCAAGAAAAATTAATCTTTTGTACTTACAGTGCCTTCTTTCTGCTCACAGTCATCAGCGTCTTTGTAACTGACTTCTTTTTTCAAACAGTTGGTAATAATAGCAACTACTTGTATACGATAAGATGATGCTTTCTTCAACAAAAAAACAATGATATTATTAGTAAAAAAATCAATTTTTGTTAAAGACACTATAAGAAATATGGGATATATTACTTAATTTACCAGGTAAAAATATTAATTAAATTTTAAAAGAACGCAAAATAATATCAATACACGTCATTTTCAATTCGCAGCAATAAACACAAAAGATGCGAAATGACATCGCGCTTGTTTTATTTATTTTTTTAAAAAATTAAAAAAACAAATTCGCTTAAAAATAAAACTTATTTCTCATTTCTTAATGATCTACTGGTTTCTTTTTCTAAAACTTTAAGGCAAAAAAAAATTTTTTTTAAAACACCAAATACTATTTTAATCGATGAGTGTTTATAATGTTATTAGATTCTAACCATTTCTGCGAAATATATATTTTAACATATTTCTTAACATTTGTAGATATTTCTCTTCAAAATTTAGGTTATACATTTTTAAATAGCTGGGAATAAATATTGAATTTTCTTAATGTACGTTAACCAATCGCATTAAAGAATAATATTTCATTTTGCATAACGTTTTAATTGTACATGTTTAATCGGGTGGGTAAATTTTTATTTTTTTCCAATTCAAATCCTCTATGGGGGAACTTTTGTTTATGAAATAATTGTAAAAAAAAAAATATTGCAATAAAATATATTTAAGCTCTCACCGAGTCCTCAAAATTTCGCTAATTTCAAAAAATGCATCACTTTAAAATTATTTTTTAATTTTCGCATATCAATATTTTAACCTCCTGCTGTAGAAATATGTACATTGTAAAATCCCTTATTTGTGAGCAAAAAAATATTGCACCATGTAATTTTTACCCTCCTCTCCACGCATATTTATCCAACTATCCAACATGATAAAAATTACCAAAAAGAGCGTTTATTACTTTTTTACAAAAAAAAATATTATATATTTTATAATGCAGTTGCACAGTGAGTTGAAAAAGTGTAACCCTACATTTTCACCTCGTAAATGTTATAGTTTAAAGGATTGACCTCAAATACGATAATTAGTTAGTGATATAACTATAGATTAAGCTACGAAATAAAATTCAAAATAACTTACTTTTCCTTAAAAAAAGAATCTTTTTTTACTGATTTGTATACAGTGTCTGGCTAAATTATTAAAAGCACTAAAAAATTTTACGTAAAATCTACATTATCATGGTGATACTATAAAGTTTTATTGTTTTTACGTGACTGAAACTGGTTTGCACTTGTTTACGTTAGTGTATCAATTGGTTAAATTAGACAATATATAATATAAATTTGACAATTGTATGAATTAGACGAAATCTTATATAAATATAGAATATATATTATACCAGTGCATTATAATAATTAGACCAAATTAATCGACGAATTGCAGCTTTTTTAATAATTACATGCTTTGCACGAATTTGCATGCAATACTTTTACATTTAAACATACAACATGTAATGGGTCTTTATTCAGATTTCTCATATACTTCCTATTTGTATTTATTTTTAACGTATTGCAATACAATGTTAACCAATTGATACACGAACGTAAACAAATGCAAACCGGTTTCAGCCGCATAAAAACAATAAAGCTGTATAGGATAAAATGATAATTAAGATTTTACATAGAATCTTATAGTGCGTCTAATAATTTGACCAGAGACTGTACAACAGACAGAACAAAATATAGACAGAATGTTGCCCCAATATATGGTCTCCATAGTTTAGTTAGGGGAACGAAAAAAAGTTGTAACCTTTTAAGGTTAATTTCATTTTCAGCGTATATCACCATTTATCGGGGACACTTATATTATCACTTTTATCGGGGACAATTAATTCAAATCAGAAGCTTTGGCACACATTGATAACAACTAATAAGTTTAATAGCTTAGTGCAAACATTTTGCAAATCACTGCATAGTAACTGAGATATTTCAAAATCTACAAAAAGTTAAATTGATATTAAGCAGTTCAAAGTTTGATGTTTTGATGACTAAATCTCTTTGGGGTAATGTATTCCAGGTCACCCCATGAAATTTAAAAGAAAGACAAGTTTCCAAATTCGTCGATTAATTATTTTATTTTATTTTTTTTTTTTTTTTATTTCCAATGAGCTGCACAATCGGTCTTGCCGATGAGCAGACCTAGTGCGTTCTCCAGAGGTGGTATCCACTCTTTCAGGACCACCTCAATGGGTGAGATACCGTTGGTCATGTTAATTTGGACGTCTAGTTTCTGCCACACTAGATGGCAGCACCGAGACTCTATTTGGATGCTAAAGTGCACTAGGAATTTAATTTTGCCGGAAATGCCAAGAG